TTCATTCAATAAAATAATATACAATCATAACTTGGAACATGAAAAGAGTTACAATAATTTTAAAACGAAAATTATCAACAGTCGCGCGTTTCGGGAAATTGATAAAGGGAGAGGGAGAGAGAGACATGTGAACAAGTAGAAACTTATAACTCACAGTGCATAATTGGTTACCAAGGACGAGGCAGAAGCATGCTACACATTCAAGAGGGGTTTCATAAATACTTTCGCACTTTCTTGCGCTTTTATGAAAAGGAAGTGGTCGGTCATCCACAGTTTGATTGAAGAAATATGCAACCTGAGCATCTCATTTCCATAGCTAGTATGTCAGCGAAGAACAGGTAGACAAGCTCAGTGAACACACCTAGGATTTGCATGAAGAAAGCGTGTTGCTCACCTCAGCCTCCTCTGGTTTGGAGAACCACCGGTCTGAAAAGCCAATACAGAAGATAGGACCGAGTAAGCATGACATGTGGAAACGAGTGATAAACGTTGAAACTACGCGTGCATAGTGATTAGAGCTAGTAGCTATCTGCATATAGATCACAAAGGACCAGGATACCTTGCGAACGGAGTAGCTTTTGAGACTGGTCAGGGCGTGGCCGTCTCCTCATTTGTCCTCGTCCCAGTGGAGGACTTCCGGCACGTATTGGCTGTCAACAAGGGTAAAGCACCGATCGATAAACGAGAAATTCGCATATGCTCAAAAGAACTCAAGAGAGGGAAAAAAACTATCCACATTCACATCTGGTTGTCGACGCTTTCACTAAGGCATTTTCGAGGATCGTGCAAAAACCAGACTTATCCAAAGGCGAACAGATTCTTATCCAGCCCACAAGAAGAATTCCGTGCTGTGTGCATACGAGCCGTATCATAAACGGATGAATGGATGAATTAAAGCACGCTCCGAATTAAAGTCAGACGAAACGACATTGCTCGAAGTAAGAAGGAGACCAACATTCGTAAGTGCAAAAGCGACAAGAAGTGGAAGCCTCCAATAGTAGAAGGTCATGGACATATGGCAACAGAAAAGGGTAATCCTGGTGAGAATGTACAACTTCAACTCAAGGCAATGTAAAAACCGCCCCTTCTGTCACATACCCACATGTCATAAATCCAGGTAAAATCCAACACTAATTTTGGTGGGTCACTCTTATGTGCCTTGTGTAGGTCACCTACATCATTCGACATTTTTTCACTTCTTAGGCACCCTTTACCCAGAACACGGAGATCATGTATCTTTGTACATGATCTACATACACAAACACAAATAACAATAGAAGGAAGCGGAAAGGGGAAAGTAGAGAAAGGGTGAACCGGGAATCATCTTCACCTACAGTCTTATGGACACATAGATGAATGTCCTTTCACAAGTAGAAGAGTGTGATTAAGTAGCGAAAGTGCATTGTACGTTTGCTACTGTGAGCACATGTAGAGGTTTTGTTTGTAAAGGAGGTGTTCTCTATATGTGTTCTGGGAGGTAACTGGAGTTTACACTTTCTCATTACAGGATACGAAGTTTGCCACGAATCTGAAGATAGTAATTCCTCACCTGGGCCGCACAACAACTACTGTCAAAAATGAATTTCCATTCGGGCGTGCAAGAATTGAAACTGCACAGAGGGGCGAAGCGATCAAGCACGACTTTCTCCAGAATCCCTGTCAGCTTTTTCTTTTTTTGAAACCATCGGCATTTTTCCACCTCCTTTTTTGGTCGGACGGTCCCCTGGGGAATCTTGACATCTTGGGCAGCGCCGAATATTAACAACCTCGTTTGACGGACTGGTAGATCTGGCAACAGAAGGGAAGTCAGCCGGAGAGTGGAAAACGAACCGGGAGGACCCCGTCAGGAAACGTTTCAGACATAGGGAGAACGCAGCCAGGAAGTGACAGCGTTGGCCGCTGCGCGAGTGTTGACAAACGTGTCAGTCTTGGCCCTTCAGAGGAATCAGAGCGATAAGTTTTGACGATGCAGGCTTCCAGGTAGGGCTGGAGAAGCAGCGTCCGAAGTTCCAGCTTCACCCCGGGGCTAATATACAAACATCTGTATCGTCATAATATTTAGTTAAAAAAAACTCATATTAATATTCATTTAATTTATTTCAGATCTATAGTATTATGATTTTTGGAAAACATTATTGATTTATCTTTGTCACGGAAAATCTTACCTTGATATCTTTCAGGAAACACTTTCTGAAACAAATTATTGTTATTAATAATTATCCAATTCTGCAATAGTCATATGTTATTGGCCCGTAAAATTTGTAGACTTTATTGATTGCAATATATGAATGATAAAATATTTATATTTCAAGTTTCCAAAAACATCAGCATGTATTTTAGTTTTTCACGAAACCTGGTACCTTCAAATGAGACAGGCGGTTGAAATCATCTTTGGAAATTGAGAAAACGCAATTTTGAAGTAGGTTTGGCTTTTCTAGATTCTATGTTATAAAGTCTATTTTCATAGTACTTACATATACTTATATTTGCATTAAAAGATAATCTTTCAAAAAAACGTGTCAATCATTATATCTTTTACGGAAAAAAATTGGACCATTGTTAATAGGAAATCTATGAAAGAAGGGCTAAAGTCTCATGAAGGAAAATCTGAACACTCACGTAACAGTTCTTTCTCGACCTAACAAAATCTTGAAAATGTTTGCATGAACTGTTCAGCTGGATTTTCGACTTTACACCATCTTTTCCAGGTCATGGTCTACAATATCATGTACAATATACAATGTGATGACTTACGAAAACCATTAAAAGAACTTGTTTTTTCTGATTAGTATATAGTGGATTCTCTACAAAGTTCTTTGGTTTCCCGAATATTTTGATCAGTATCTTTTTCTTTTTTCATATGTTTTGATTTAAAGGTCAGAAGGCATGTTATTAGAATTTAATTTTGATATAAGATAAACTTAGGCTTTCTTCTTAGAAAACTATGCCCCGAGTTGCAATTCTTGTCCGTTTGTGGGGAAATTTTTCAAGGAATCAGTTTGATTTAGATTTGACAAATTCAACCATTGATGTCATGAGATGCAATAAATTAGCAATCAAACATTATAACTTCTCTATATACTTTCGACAACGAGATTCTTAAAAAAAAATAAAAAAAAATATAGATAGTTATGATATATATATATATATATATATATATTTAGAAAAAATTGTTACCTCAAGCTGTTTCGTCGTTATATCGGCACACCAAGAAAATATTTTTCATGCAGAAAGACCATTGTACTGCCACACATTTCCGCAAAAGCTGTGCTGGCTATCGCTCAACTATTAGGGGTACAGTCACCACGTGAATTCATTCTGTAGTTAATGCGAGAAAAGAACAGAGTATATCTGGCATAAATTCATTCGGCCCCATCTGGGAGAGTTTGGCACACTACCTTGGACTTGCAAATATATGAAGGACACCTACTGAGCCCAGTTCGGATTGTCAGGAAGGGACACCCTCGATTTCAGTTTTTTGAATACATCATTTGTGGCCCAGGTCGCCTATCTCTCCCTCACTCTCTATAAAAAACTTGGAAAAGCTATGAAGTACATTGTGACAAAGCGGTAATCATATTCAGATATTTAGTGCACACACCCCCAGTTTCTTATGCTTGATTCTCGAGGAATTTCCAAGATAGATTAGTCGTCAAGTGGCTGATCTGTATCCCTCTAGCAGTCTTTCTGAGAGATGGTTAAATCACGAATATTACCACGTTTCCTTGGTCATTGGAAGACCTGGAGCTGACTGCGGAGCAGGTTAGACCTTAAAGGTTCAACCGTTCCCTGCGAAACCTCTAAAATTGAGTTTTCCCAGATTCCTCCTCTTTTCCAAGTGTGTTCTTCTCGTTAGGAGATTCACACATGTAGCAACCGACGGTTGGATTCAACGCACCGGAACGGGATTTAGCGGGAGGCCAAGGCACTTTTCTCTTGATCGGACAAGTTGCACAAGTTAGTCGCTTGAGTCTTACACCGTATATAGTAGGAGGTGCGTACCCACAAGCCTAACATATACAAGACCGTATACGGATAACAAATGATATCTATATCACCCCTAGGTCTGAGGTGCTTTAGAAAATTGCAGAGTGGATTCAATTTTAGGGACTTATTTTTGGTCGTACGGCGTACGCGAAATTCTCCTTGGCTGTTAGAAAATAAGTCTCGCGCTCTGATATCCACATAGAATTTTCATGGCGACTTATTGCAAAATGGCAAGGTATGTCCATATTAATTGATAACTTTTCTCTTTTTTCAGTGACTAGATTTGCATGTGTTGTTTTTGGCCTGCTATAAATTAGTTTGGAAATAGTTTTGTTCGTTGTAATAAATAAAAAAGCTTCAACCAATCTAAGTTTCTGCATACATGACATCTCTTCAAGCATCTGAACATATTGATGTCAATTCTGAAAATATTTGATATATTTCTTCAAACTTTAAAATGTATAAGAGACACGTATAGACACCGAAGAACTAGAAAACATGTTAGTTTTAAATAGACAAGAAATGATCAAAGTCACTCACATACATGGAAATCTAAATAATCGTATTGACTTCAGATAAGGCCTTTCGTTGTGCAATACCTTGCCAATCCATTCTTTCTGACTGACCTTAAAAGAACAACATATATAATTATTTCAGAATTAAAAACATGATTCTGAAAATGAACAATCTCTTTTCCACTGTAAGTTGTACTAATGTGATCTCTGGCAATCAAATGGACGGAGGTGTAAGCCTTTCAGCGAAGGCGCTGTAGGTGGACTTTAGCGACCTTACTCAAACTGTCAAAGCCGTGTCGTAGAATGTCTCTAGACAGGGCAGTTTTGCGTCAAGCATTGCAGGTTTGATTACTTCTGACAGGCAATTGCCCAGTTTGGGAAATGCCCGGAAGCTGGGAAAAAATTGTGACTGTCTCTTGAAAGCAAGAGGAAACTGCTTAAAAGGCAACCTTTTGATCTTAGACGGACACTTGAGGTATTTTCAAAGCCCGTACGCGACGGTTGCAAAGATGGTACGACGCGCAATCGAGTATTCGAGGGTCTCCAAAGGCCTGCTTAGTTACACTGGCCAGGAATGGAGGACTTACTAGAAATGAGTCAGAAGAGAGTTAGAGAGTTCCACGAACAGGAGATTGACTGGCGTGACCGGGTGACCAGAAAGAAACGCTAGGACCTCAAGAAGGCCCTGCAGCTCTACAAAGACCGTCCCCTACTGACCACGCTAGAGAGCGGCGGTCCTGATTGATTGGAAGACCTGTTCCCGAGGTAAACTAGAGTAAACAATTCCTCCGAGCTTCTCTTATATAGCAACATGTTTGCTTCTGACTTTCACCACTACATCCTTCCGACCCACGGCACTGCTCATCGCCATTACTTGTCGTAGCTTGTCACTGTGGTAGACTCGAGCTGCTTGGGCTGCACTGCCCTCTTGGCATCAGACTGCTTTGCCTCTGATACTCCGAACTCGTCTTTCCCACAATCAATTTTCCTTCTTTTCCAACGGGGAATTGACAGAGCGAAGCAGGTTTCTTAGCTCGCCCTGTCTAGAAAGAAATCGGCCAGCTCGTTTTCTCCACTGTGTTCCTGTTGTCCGTGTCTATGTCGTTGAAGGTCCGTGTGGAGATGAATACATGCTCACATAGAAACCTCCCCGGCTTGTAACAGCTTCCTATCGGTCAGGGGGAGAATGTAAGCTCGATTGGACTGAGAAGAGACGGCGAGAGGTTGCGAGAGACGTTGGCTGGAATTGTGTCGCTGCGCTTGGTAAGGGACTTGGGATAATCGTTGAGAGCGAAGTCTGGAGGTCATACAGGGAGAGCTGATACAGCTGCCAGCAGAATGGCGATGGCGGACGAGAGGAGGAGGGTTGCAGATGTAGTCAGCTTTTTCCGGGGAGAGAGGGCTCGGGTGCAATTAGCTCTGATAACCGTGCAGATAGGATATGGAGTCTACTACGTCTTGACGAAGGCTGCGATGAGCGGAGGCGTGAATCGCTTTGTCTTCGCCGTGTATCGGGATGGTATAGCTCTGTGTTTGATCTGTCCGCTGGCATACTTCACCGAGAGAAGTCTGCGAACTGCCATGAGTCTCGGCACCTTTTTGTACATTTGCGCTCTTGGTTTCACGGGCATTTTTCTGCAGCAAACTCTGTTTCTCGCCGGTCTGGCCTACACGAACACCGCCTTCGCAGCTGCCATGCAGAATGCGATTCCGGTGTTCACTTTCATGATTGCCGTCGTTTGCAAGCTCGAGGTGATCCGCATCAGCAAGCCTGACGGAGTTGCCAAGGTAGTAGGCTTGTTCGCTGCCGTCCTCGGAGCCTTCACCATGTGCCTCTACAAGGGTCCGACTCTTTTCGGACAGGATGCGAGTGCTGCTGATGAGCAAAGTTCGAGCGAGGATGTCGCCCTTCCTGGAGCAAATGCATGGCTATCGTCCTTGGGAATGGACTACTGGCAGATCGGAGCTCTGTGCCTGGTGGGCAACTGCTTCTGCATGGGCATCTACACCAACTTGCAAATTCCGGCTCTGAGGAGGTTCCCCGCCCCTGTTTCGCTCTCGGCCTGTTCCATCTTCGTCGGTGCTGTGCTGCTGGCCCTCACCGGCCTGGCAACCGTCTCTCAAGCATCGGAGTGGGTTTTGACATCCCCGGGGACCATCGTCTCCGTATGCTACGCCGGTGCAGTTGCTTCAGGACTCAACTTCACTCTACAGACCTGGGCTAATCAGCGAGGGGGCCCTGTTTTGGTGGCAGCCTACATTCCTCTTCAAACCGTTTTCTCTGCATTTCTTGGAGTGGTTATTCTCGATGATCCGCTTTATCTGGGCAGCGTGATTGGAGCTGTTCTGATCCTCGTCGGACTGTACCTTGTGATCTGGGGCCAGGCTCTGCACCGACTGGCGAAAGAGAGAGATTGCCTGGCTCTTCCATTCAGCGGTGTGGTGGACGACGTACAGGAACCGCTGCTTAAACCATCGCAAAGTCGGGCTTCAAGCTCATACGGAACCATGCCTAGATCCTGAACGAACGATTTATACCGTGTGTGCCGACAAAGTATGATATATACGCTAATCAACGACAATCTTCGCTCAACTTTGGCTTGAGTTTGTAAATGTGACACATTCTGTCCGACCTCGTTCACCCTCAGCCTCATATTCTCAAGGCACAAACAGGGCATGTAACATAGCAACCTCTAGATATCGGGAGACCTCTAAGCAGGATTCAGTAAAGCATGCAGATTGCATGCTTTACAGAAGCTGCGTACCCCATGTATGATTCAATATACTCTGTTAGGATCCAATCTCATATGTTCACCTGATCTCATTGACACTAAAATTATGGTTGTACTCCAGCCTTGAGAAGGCAGTAATCAGCTCGCCTTATTTATTTAAAGCGTACATGCAATGCCTGATTTTATGCCCGACGATCTTGGTCACAATGCATTACTCTGGACGCCATGTGTTCAACGTGCATGACTTTGCAATGTCACTGAGCAGGATCACTTGTCAATATTACATTGCAAAGTGATCCTGCTCAGATCTAGAAACGGAAAGATCCTCCTGACACTTAAAGTGACAAACCGAAAGCTTCTATGTTCATCGTGGCAAAAGTCTGTTCGCCTAGGATAAAAAAGCTCGGGCACAAGTCTTCAGCAAATCATCAAGTGGTTCAGAACCACATAATATCTTCTCCTAAGTGTCCTATGAGTAGAGAAGAAACTTTAACTTACAGGTTGGGCGGCAGCTTCATATATCCAACATGTGAAGTCTGCAGCTCAAAAACTATTGCTGGGCAGGGAGAGAGAGAAATGTATAGAGACATATGGAGACAGCCCTTCAGCTTCTTACTTGGAGTTTGACAATCCATCACCCACGACACAATAATGTGTAGAACAATGGGCAAATGGCTAGGATAATTTTGCTATTGCAGCTAGTGGCTAACCCAAAAATTTCAATCCCACCATAAGTGACTTAAAACCGTAGATAACGGTAAGACAGTGACTACTAAAGTATTGTCCATTTTGAGATGAGGGTCTTTGCCCTCTGCTATATGCCCACAATACAGCTTACATACAAATGAAGTTTGTTTATCATAGATGTGGATCATGTGCACTAGATCATATTATAAATGTATCTAGCAATATCTTTCTTCCAGTTCATGATTGAGCTTTATGTACGTAGGACGTCACTCATGCAAGTAAATCTATCAATAATTCTACATTTTCAAATGCATACTTCTCGACATGTATGTTAAACTGAGAAAGATTAACGCATGTAACATCTTCCAAAATATTCATGATTGATATAATTATTAAATATGTTCATAACCATCCAACTATTACATGTGAATTGTGAGCAAGATATTACTTACTCAATTAAAAATGTTTAATCAAAATGCATGTTGCTATTTTTGAACATGTAAATATGATGAAGGAATAATTGACCAAGATATATCACATGCCAAAATTTGACACCAGTATTGTAGTTTCATCTTGTTAATAATCATGTATACATAAAAATTATGTGTTAAATTATATTTATTATTATCAACACACCTTAAATAAATTTAGCAGACATATCTCCTGCTTAATATATGATCAAATGATAGATCTTTTATTGGATTATTAAAGTAGTGGAACTCTTAAACATTATAGCTCTGCATATGAAATAATGAATATTATATACATCGTGGATCACTCAACATCACTCAAGTTTGGAGTGATAATAGCATCTTTTAGAGATAGTATAATTTGCATCTACATTTAACTTCAACAAATACACTTTTGATCATTACATTGATATTGACTTCCATCATCAACCCAACCTTACCCTATGTCAATGCCATGTATGTTGAAAATTTATAATAATGTCAAATTATATACATATCATTGCCATCATATATTATATATCATATGAAACTCGGAAAATTTTTTTCCCATGACTTTACTTCTACAAAATACAAAAAATATTCGTAAAATTTTAAAATTATTTTTAAAAGAAAATCCTGAATTTGATTAATCTAAATCAAACAATAAACTTAGAATATCTTAATAAATTCTTCATTGACCTTAATAAATTAAAAAAATTTATTTAGTCTAAAGTAGCATCATAAGTGCAAAATAAAACATTCAAATCATTATTCCAAGGTTAAATGATCTAAAATTTAAAGTCCCATCATAGGTTTTTCTTGACTAAAGATAACAATAGATTATTTTTTAAATTTTACTACGTGTCATATTGATGGAAATACATATTTTTTCGAAAAATTATTTCTTTAAAAATATTTTAAATCTAAAAATTTAAATGTTTTTTGACTTTTTAATAATATCGTTAATTTTGTGTATATTTTCGATTTTTTTTCCAGTCATGTGTTGTAAACTTCAGTAACATACATCAGATATTTTTGTTTAAAAATCGATCTCATTCAATAACAATAATTCAGATTAATACATTCAGTTATAATTATCTCCTCTGTATCACTTGAAAACTCTAAAATTCCTTTTAAATTATCTCACTTTCCAAGATATTATGACTAAGTGACATTTTCAATTTCAAACGTTCACGAAGATATTTCAACCGATACTTATAAGTTCAAACACTGATAGCAGTACAGCTAAATCAAATAAGATATTCAATTTTTTTCCTTACTAACATCACCAAAGCCACACTACTAAAGGCTCAAAGACAAAAGTTGACTACAATTCGCTTCATTTTTATCCCCTTTTCTTTAGCGTATGTTTTTAATAAAACTATGAGCCTTAATGGCGTGTCTAATGGAAATGGGGCTCAATATTTTTCTAATATGCTTTTCGCTAGATTCAACTACTTCGCTACGGCCGCAGCTATAACTTATAGCCTATAAGTCATGTATGATGAATTGCTTTACAATCCTAGGGTGTGACCTTTTACGTCTTCCGGTAGATAAAAGCAAGGATAGAAGCACTTTATTTGCATCTTTGTACAAGTTGCAAAGAATTTTGAAAAAGACTCACAGAATTTGTAACAAGTATGATGTTGGCCGCTTTATAAGAGGATAACAATCACATACGAAGTATTTAATTATATCTCTAAATTTTGTCATCAAGATGAGGGACCAAGATTATCACCAAGACCCCCTAACATGATTCTTCTTCAAAAACTTTTTAACAACAGAAGATGTAGCGAATGGAAACATTATAGATCCTTCCGACAACTTACATCTAGTGTTCTCGCTTAACTTCGTTTTTGTGTTCTACAAGATAATCATACTTTTGTGCCTTGGTAGGCGGCGTGAAGGTACCCCCAGTCACATGATTCCACTCATGTCATTATGATGAATCGAAGTAGGCTTGGATGTGAAGCCTAAATTTATTTGCTCACTTGGGCCTGATATAAGATTATTGTAGTCTCACTGGCCGCCAATACAGTTAGATATGGCCTTCTTGACTGGGAATCATCCAGTCGAAGATAACGCTCACCATGGGAAGAATTATTCTAGCACACCGGTAGCATGATCCGTCGTTAAGGGACAGTAGTTCATTTAGTGCTTGAGTATCCTCCACACCAGCAAAGTCAATCCTAATCCTACTCTGCAAGAACGAAACCTACTCCGCTCTTGCAATTTGGGAAGTATCTGAGAGTCTCTCAATTAAGAAACGTGCCTAGAAATGCAGATGTACAAGAACCTGCACTTTTTAAGATATGGAGAAGCGGGTGGAGGGCATCGCGAGTGGCTTTGTGCTCCACAGGTGCCTCTAGCCGCTCTCCTTTTACAGGCTTTTCGACCTTTTCCAATAAATGCACAAGAATATGGAAATTCACATTTCAATGACTTTATATAAATCGGGAATGCATCAGCGAGGTCAAAAAAAGCGAGAAGCTAGGGCTCTGTGTTTTATCGTAATTTGACGATCTCATTATTCTATTCGCGGGCGCAGGACCACGACTGGCGAGTAGATCATCATTTCTCGTGTGTTTTATGACAGAGGGCCACGGTCGAAATATTCTCTAAGAAAACGCACAGGCCACTGTTGGAGCTCGTTGTGGACACTTGACTGAAAAGAGCGTGTCATGATAACTTCAATGCCGACGTCCGTACTCACAACTCTAGGGCCCATATTCTTCAACGGGACGCACATATGATATTCCATCATTTCAGCATCTCGGGCGTGTTTCAGTCTCAACCGCAGACACACAGGTGTTCCAAATCGGTAAGAACCCGGTTCTGGACGAATCTGCATGCTCTCGCTACTGGCTCATTGCGAACCTTTTGATCATGAAGTGGCCTTGTTTCGTTAGTGAAATTTGTTTCTAGCCCTGAAGGTTTGGTCACTCTCGATGTGCTATAGAGTATCATAGTCTACTGATACCAATCATCTCAGCAAGGCCCACCCTCCCTGCCCTTGACTCCGCTTGTCTGGCTGACTGTCGTTGCCAGGCAGCTTCAAGCAGTCAGCTCGTAATTTCGTGTATTTCGAGACGTTCCCTCGGCTTCCTCAGGGGTAGGTCGTTTAGTTGGTGAGATGTCGAAGAATCTCCAAACGCAGGATGTTCCAGCAGCCTGTGATTGTGGCAAGCCGTCCATTTGTTGGGTATCAAATAAGGCCTGGTCAGACGGCCACGCCAGTTCGTCCTACTCTGCTTCTATTTCACTAACCCTTTGAAAACTCTTCTCCCAAGACCTCGGACATGGAGATCATAGTAACGTATTCCCCTCGGCCATTGGACAAAACAGCCGCTGGAGTCAGATCTTGAAATGCGATCAACATTGAGGCTAAAATTGTGTATTATCGTTAGAATATAGTCTCGGAATCTGAATACTTCATTTTGTTTGGATTAAGTCTTTTTTCCTGGGACTGCACCTTTGCGCACTTCCGTGTGGGATCAGGTATACTTGGAACTAACCTGAACTTTAACTAACCTCTCACAGTACTCCAGGCTCCGAGAGTACCCAACAAGCATAACAAAGATAAAAGGAAGTCTGTGGAAAGAGTGAAAAGCTGGAGAGAGAGAAAGTGAAAAGCACATGCACCTCAGACATTCTTGCCGCAAAAGGAAAAGTCCTAATCGCTTGTTAACAGTCACAATGGAGCTTTCTTCACTGCTTGCCTTTGAAGAGGAAAAAAGCAGCCATGGGGCCACTACCCTCCAAGTCTGATCTTGGAAGTCATCCCAGGTCATTACACTGTGCCTGATGCAGATTCCCAGAGAATCAGGAATAGCGCGTCCGTCATCTGCTTATATACTCCTCTGCTCACTTTCGTACTCCAGCCTCAGTTGACAACCTCCAATCGTATTATCCTTCGGTTGTGCTGCACTCACAGTTCTAGTCTCTGCTCTTCTTCTTCGCCAATTGGCAGTTCTTTGCTTCTCTTTCCTCCCCCCCCTCAAAACCTTCCACGATTTACCTTTCGATAATCAAAAGTGTCTAGACACAAAGGTCACTCGAGTATTCTTCAGAGCGTCAAGAGGATATTCACAGAGAGCTCTGCGGCAGTTGTCAGCCTGCAACTGTCGTCGCTCGAGTGCCGGAGTGGGGAGCGAGTAGATTTGGTTTCATCTTTCGTTACTCGTGAGGAAATAGAAAAGAGAAGGAGCTCAGCTCTTGGGTTTTCTGCACTACCCGAGCAGCACGTAGATGCATGCGTAGAAGTAGACGGAGAGCCCCGACTCAATTGGAATTCAATCCGGCCACAAAAGTTCAAGAGCATATCGAACGTAGGGAGGGCGTGAAATTCCTCGAGAGAAAATTTAGACTCACAGCCCTGGGTCGTCGCCGTTGATTACAATAGCAGTCAGTGAAGGGGAGGCAGAGATTAGACAGTGGGTGCACGAAGCTTGGGGTTAGGGTCCCTTATTCTGAAGTCCCACTAGATTTAAAAATAAAAGGAAGTGGCTGTATCTGCTCTGAGCCTCGAGCAGAGAAGGTCGTTCAAGCATTCCAGGTTCTCATTTCAGAGAGGTCAGAGAGGTCAGAGAGGTCAATTCTGCTGCAGATAGAGATCCAAGCTACCAACTTCTTAGCGCTCAAATTTCCAGCTCGGGCCTTTCAGGTGTTTCACGAGCGATACTGCATCAGTGCCAGACGCCAGTACAGTGATGGCGGTCGAAAGAGGAAAGGTTGGAGACATGTGGGGATGTCTCACCGGCGAGAGCGCCCGTGTACAGCTGGCCCTGCTCACGGTGCAACTGGGTTACGGCATCTATTATGTCTTGACGAAATCTGCCATGAGCGGAGGTGTGAACCAATTTGTGTTTGCAGTCTACCGCGACGTGATCGCTCTGAGTCTCATTGTACCATTGGCTTACTTCACCGAGAAAGACAAGCGCACCCCACTCACTCTGCAAACGTCCTTGCTCATTTTCGTTCTGGGAATCACGGGCATTTTCCTGCAGCAGACATTGTTCTTGGCGGGCCTGGCGTTCACAAACACAGCATTTGCTGCAGCGATGCAGAACGCCATCCCTGTCTTCACCTTCTTGATTGCAGTGGTGTGCAAAATCGAGGTTATTCGCTTCAGCAAACCCGACGGCCTGGCCAAAGTGGTCGGAATCCTGGCCGCTGTCGTGGGGTCCTTCACCATGTGCCTCTACAAGGGGACCATCCTCTTCGGAGACGATCCAGCCGCCGGAACAACGCAAGGTGAGCAAGAAGATGTGGCACGGAGCAGTGACACGGATGGATTCTTGACGACCTTATTCCTTGGCTTCGGAATCGACTACTGGCAAATCGGCGCCCTCTGCCTGGTGGCTAACTGCTTCTGTATGGGAGCCTACTCCAATTTGCAGATTCCCACTCTCAGAAGGTTCCCGGCCCCCATCTCCCTTACGGCTCTGTGCATTTGCGTGGGAGCAAGCGCTCTGCTCGCCACTGGACTCGCGAGTGTCTCCCAGGCCTCCGACTGGGTCCTCAGCTCCTCGGGCAACATCGTCTCTGTGATCTACGCCGGGGCTATTGCATCGGGACTCAACTTCTCGCTCCAAACGTGGGCGAATCAGCGAGGCGGCCCCGTTCTCGTGGCAGCCTACATCCCCCTGCAAACCGTGTTCTCGGGATTTCTCGGGCTGATGATTCTCGACGACCCTCTGTACCTGGGGAGTGTAATTGGAGCCGCGCTCATTCTGTTGGGTCTTTACCTCGTCATTTGGGGCCAGAGTCTGCACAGGATGGCCCAAGAGAAGGAGCTGCTGTGCACACCATTCAGTGGCGTTTTGGACGATACGAAGGAGCCTCTGCTCAAAGAGTCCAAGTCGGCGGGAACCAGCAATCACGGGTCGGTCCCCAGATCATGATCCGGCTTCGGCCGGAGGAGATCGATCGGCTGATAAGCAAATTGTAATTAAGTTGTCGTGATGGGTATATACCGTGTTCATATCGTCAACTCCCTCAAAGCTCTCGATATTACGGCACATTAGGCCATTTTGAAATTATCCCGGCCATTGTATACTATCCCGTAGAGTAGAAGCTTCTGCCGAACCGCAGGAAGAGAAAGGACCGATCGTCATGTCCATTGTACATAGGCACATAGTTGTTGGGAAAAAAACATCCGACTCACTTAATCGTCTCGTAGAGGCTTCCAAGCATTCCTGAAGTCCATTCTTTATTACGCCATTGTAATCATTAAGAAACTCCATTCGGAGCCTGACGTCCGAGCCAAACTCTGCTATGTCACCACACATCCTCCTCACTTCCGGAGTTTCTAAGAATGTGAATGTATGTATGACGAATGTATGACTGAAGCTGGCTCCAAATCAGCAGCACATGCAAGTTTTGGGGGGCTTGGCAATTGGCACTGCGATGAAGGCGAGGGATGGAAAGTGTGTCACGCACGGGCAAGGCACAAGATAACAGACCTCGAACTGGTGCGAGAAATGTTGCCGCTCCCACCTCACAGCGGGAACAACGACAGCGTTAACACCTACTAGTACACCACAATGGTGCTACGAGGCAGGACGGCGGTCAGGCTTGGCCACGGTCAACCGGTTTGGAAAAAAAGTGGACCGGTTAACCGGTTTAACGAGACCGACTATTGACCGGCTAACCGCCGGTCCGGACCTTCGCCAAGAAATGAACTACATTACATTAGTGTGACGAATTTTCTCTGGGACCGGTTAACCTGTAGTCCGGACCGGACCGTGGCCAAGCCTAACGGCGGTACCAATGGCTGAGATGGAAAGCCGAGATAGGCTGCTGCCCACGCTTCTGCCTTCAATGTTTGTGTAGGCGACAAGGAGAAACAGTTGAACACTGCCAACGTCCCGTCTCATCTCGTCGTCCGACTGTTCTCAGATCTCCTCTCCCCGACGGCAAAACGCCTGTACTCTCCCTTCCCACGCCCCGAGCCGAGCTTTGTCGTGCATGCCACGTGCGCACACCGACAAAAATTCACAACGAAAGCTTCATCCACGTAGCTGCAGACATTGCCTGCCGGCTGCACCGAACGGATGTTGTAGCATTATCCGGTCTGTGCAGCCAGCACTGATTTGTTGCTGTTTCGACTTGCCAAATCAAGCTGCTGTACATACAATCTCTTTGAGGAGCTAAGCGCTCGACATTGTTTTTCCACAAAACTCGTGATTTTATTCAGAGTATGCCTGTCGATTAGCATCTTCACTGCAGAAAATAATTTCGGAGTGAAGACATGAGCATGATCTCTCAATGTCACAGAAAAAGACCAGGTGCGAGTTATGGTGTAAAAGGGAGGTTGCTTATATCGAGCTGTATCAACTGGAAGGCGAAATCCTCAGGAGATTTATCAGCTGTGAAGTCCCGAAGTTCTCGGACTGAGAGAGTGGATGAAGAATCTACAAATCCCCCGGAACGTCAGCGTAGTGGGGATCAGCTCAAGCCACGCATACCACGACTAGATAGTGACACACCTTACCCTTATCCTGCCCGTGTTATCATGACGGGAGAGAGAACCGAGGAAGCCGGGGGAATGAATCAAAATTCGTGCGCAAGCTGCATGATCGTAGCAGACATCAACCTCCAGAATTCCTTTTTTTGCGGCTCGAATGACGAACGAAGTTGTGTGGAGGCAGACATGCATATCGAACTTTTTAAGAATTCTGCAGCTTGTTGATGCCTGGATGCTTATCAAGCCGGCGTCTTCTATGCTTGCATTCACAACTGACCAGAAACACACAAAGTACAGCCTTATTTAACCTTCTGTGCTCCATCGTGAGTCTCATCACCGTCCGACAATTGGTCCTATTCAGTATCGTGTGGCATCTACCTGTCCTTGTTCGACGATCTTGCGAGATGTTTTGTTTGAAGATGTCAGATTCTTTTCTATACATGTTCGTTCTCAAGGAAATCTTTCTCATATACTACCATTAGGAAACTTCTAAGGATCTGGCGTGTCGGTTTGTACTCATCTGCCGTGTTTGGACTGTTCACTAACCGGATACAGCTTCTGACTCACCATCGAGAAGTGTTGACCAAACTTTACGGAATGGACCTGCTGGAGAGTTCTTCAGTCCATGGAGATCAGGAGTGAATCAGACTCTGTCTCTTTCAATTTTTCGTCATTTAACGATTCTCGTAATCTCCACGGACGGCAAGATCTCACGAATGTGTGGTTTCAGACATCAGACATCACTGCTGATGTGCTCTCATCAAGCATATCCTGGTACAGACACGCTCTGCAAGCCTCATCGAAAGTATTTTATAACCTTTGACTGTCGCTTGGACAACACGAACAACATATTGAAGCGCGGGAATGACCGACGGTGATTTCGCATGAGCTTGCATCGCGGGTCTTCAAATTCCTTATATCTCTTCTGATTTTCTAAAAATCCTGGTGAACCTTCTGTTGTCAGGGACGTGTTTAGCACTACAGCCAAGCTGTTACATCGTCTTACATTCTTCAGATAAAGAATCTGAGTACAGTATTACTTTACTGTATCATAAGGTGGATATACACAACTTTGCCGATGTAAAGCCTTCCTATCGTGCAGGTTTTACATGACAGGCCTAGTTGACATCATTCAACCTTGCCTACGACTTGTTTCATAATCATCCATTCTCGATACACATCGTGGATCACGAGAAAAATGTTGAGATAGATTGGACAGAGTTGGGTTGAAGCTGTTTGTTCAATTCAATCCGAGTCAAGTTCTTTTGGAATAGGTCGAATCTAAGACATGATGGTTTAGCCCCGAAGAGGAAACTGCCTTTCTTCTCTGAGCTCTACATTCCACATTTGGTTCTGATTTGGATGTCAGTGCCTCATCCCTTTCCTCTCGACTGACTCGACAGGACCTTTAGTGCTGTGGTCTCTGGAGGCAAGGTCTTCTTGACTCCGTGGTCCATACTCCATCAGTTGCACAGTACACAGAGTAGAGACTAACACGCTACAAGATTTTCCTGAAACTTCACGAAGTAGCGAAGCTGTTCACAATGTCCTAACGTTGGTCCTCCGATATGTACCCGTGTTGAGAACCAACTGTACCAAGTGCTTTGCGTTGATTCTGCTTACACGTGGATGATCGAGGCCAAACTAAGGCAGACACCAGAGCAATGCAGAAGATTCGACAAAACTGTTGGGCATCATTGAGACAGGTCGTATGGAGGAGTAGAATGGTGCACATGCTATCGATTGTTTCTCATGCAATGGATGCAACATTCACTCTAGCACTTGAGATATTCATACAAAGAAGTACTATATAAAGCTACCAACTTGCTCTGCTTGAAACCTGTCGGATGCCTTTCGGTGACAGCGCAACAATTCACTCTATGCCGTGATAATGAGCGTTGAGAACGAAGACAGTTTGAATCAACTGCTATCGAATACTGATTATTCGTACTGCTATCGAAGACTGAATCTTATTTATTCTTCTGAACCCATCACCTCCGGCCTCCGTTTGTGCTAATAGGACAGCTTGGCTTGAAAGTTTTCATGCCCAATTCACTCATTCTAGAAATCCTTGAAACGCGTCTGGCCTGCACCTGACTCATCGATGTTACATCTACAGTATTTCTTCTGCCACAAGCTTACGATATACACTTCAATATTAAGAGAACTGCTAACTTGAGAGGGCTTGGAGATATTAGCTTTTATTTCGGTTGTCCGGTTGTTTATTGAGGGAGTATTCTCTTTGGTTTGTATGGACTCAGAGAATAAGACTACTTTTCTACTCAGTTCGAATATACGGTTTTGGGACTTTTTGCGCGAGAAGACAAAAGCCAAACAGAACAAGGCCATATTGATGTAGGCAAATAATTCTCTGGGTGAGATTTATATATTTACAGATTCTTGACCCTTAACGAGCTTTGTAACTCTGAACCAGAAGAGACAACGCAACCGAAAGGAGCAGAAAGGTGGGGTAAAAAGACGAACAAACCTCATCATGATTAGTGCGTCTCAAGAGTAAAATGGAAAGTGCTTGACGACGTAGCGACACGTGATTGAAGAAGAAAACGTCAAATTCTAAGTGGTGATATTCAAAACTTTCTGCGTCATAACATATTCGCAGTTCAGAAGTTTGCGCCACTCCTCCTACAACCCTTCGCAGAGGCATTATCTGCCCACTCTAGAAACAGATGTCAACCGCGTCTATGACACACTTTCGTCTCTCTACAGAACTAGAGCTTTGTAGTGAGTCATCAGATTGATGTCTATTACTTTAGGGTTTGAAACGGTAGTTTTTTCCTTCTTTTCCAGAATTTTTAAAATGTTCTTCCAAAATCTCGTAACAGTGAGTCCACTAAAGGTTCAAAAGGTAAAGAATTCAAAAATGAGCATGATGATGATGTGAAGAACATGATGACATGCACGGAGCAAAAGAGTAACACAAGACAAATGAGAAGAAAATTTAGCTGTACTTTATCGAAGAGAGAAGGGAGGCGCATTGAAAACACGCTGTTGGTAAAGACAATCCACGAGAGAAAAATGAAAAGGTCTTCAGAAGACCTAGCACAAGGTCTAGATAGAGCCGGTCAATTTCAAAAAGAGCTATCTAATCCGGACATGAATCAACATGATCTCTTGCAAGCAAATCCGTTAGGAGTGTCAAACGGATGGTCCGAACAGACATCTCTACCAACATGTAATTCTCGCTATATTGCAGACGCTAACGCTCTAGCTAACGCACGTTGGCTGAAAATGTTGAATACTGGCCATGGTCCAGTGTGGGTTATCAACTGCTATGTTCAAGTCTGCAGCCTCAAGAATAGCCGCCTCGTTCGATATTCTTGCCACTCTCTTGAACTATGTGGTTATCGCACCCGAAGTTTATTGCAAAGAGATGGACTTGACAATACTTCTGTGAAATCAACTAGTATATGTGCACTTTGTTCTCATGTAAGGATTTCACTTTGAAGTAGGTGATCATTTTCTGATATGAAATCCAAGATTTTCAACTGCTATGAACTACCCACTACTTCAGTTTTGAGAGTTGTGCAAATAGCGAAGCGGCCAAGTAAATAGCCAAAAAAAAGAAAAATTAACCATTTACTGCCCTTATAAAAATATGATTAAAACATTTGATACAACAGCTAATATATTTAATTTTAGAAATGAAACAGTCTAAAAAACAAGATCATAATATTGCTTCATCTGTTGTTATATATCATTTGAATAGCTCATTGCAAATCAATCAAAAGTAATTGATTAAAATAATTTACACAAAACTTTAAATTAAATCATTGTTGTGGTTTAGTACAATACTTCTCGCCCATTTTCTAACGAATATATTATACATCTTCTTAGTGGCATCATACGTTTTCAATGTTAGAGTAAAAACTTGATGAAATCATTGCATACCCGTATACTTAAAGACTATAGAAATTCTCGTTTATTGAGAAAAATGAGAAAAAATTTCTTGAAAGTACTTAATGAAACATTAGTAAATAATGAAAATTTCAATAGTCATTTGATTTTTTTTATCAAGAATTTTTTTTAAATAATTCAATTATACATTACATTAAATTCGAAAGAAAAAAATGTATATTCGATTGCATCATGTAAAATTCATCTTGTCATACACATGAACATGAGTCAATACAAATTTGAGCTTCATCAAAAGCTACTTGTCAGGAATTAATTTGAATACTTTGATAATTCAGTTTAATATAACCACAGTTTATTAAGCAAGCTAGATTGTTACTGTATAAGAAAACTCATGATAACACAATTAAGGGGTTTCTCTCGGTAAAGTCTTTTTGTTTTTGTAAATTAGACCCTATAGTGGTAAATCACTTATGTTCAATAATTTTGCGTGTGCTTTTTCTTGTTGACTTTTTGATTTCAATGCATTTCAATTTTCTCATGACAAATGATATAATAGAGAATTTAAGATGAATCGCGCTTTTGTGTAAAACACAATTACAAGCTAAAAGAGTGCAACAAGAAAGAAGTAAATTGAGTCGAGTTGCTAGACTATTTCTAGTATGAATAGGTTTACAGCGGTCAAAACGAATTGATCCAAGATTCTCTTACTAGTGGGAAAAAGCTGCTCCAAAGATACCTTACTAGTGAAGGAAAACTACCCCAAGATGTTCTTTATAGTAGAAAAAATTGGTATGAAATAGCTCATGAGATGACAAGAAAAATGTGAGGCGGTAGAACCATGAGATAGCATAAGTCGGAAAGAAACTACTTGATAGGGGCACACAGTTTTATTAAGACAAATTTTATTGTTTTTGGTGAGAACAATCATCAATTGGTATACATCATATATTACAATATTGAGGTGGATAGTTTACATCGAGACACTTGTCCCAAAGTTGACACATGAAGCTCGAAAGGAAAACAAGGCAGTGAATATGCTGTCAAGATTTAGATATGAGATTAAGGAAGAGATGATTGACAATACTTATGATATAGAGCTACTCTGTAGCTAATAAGCAAGTAGAATCAAGGAGATTGGAGCCGTTTTTTAGAATTTACATGGGAGATAGCCTATTGGCAGGCATGTCAGCATTTTGACAATAGAGAGTGGTTGGAGTGATCAGAAATTTAAACTTGTGAGAAAGAAAGCATATAATTACATGCTATTATATTAATATCTATCTTAAGTATGCAACTGTTTAAGTAGTCATCTTGATTAAGTACACATTCTATCGCCAAGAAAATAGATATCACATTAATTTAGTTCAGCATGTCATGAAGTGTCATTTGGCTCAAGTTTTCAAGATTCTTGCTTTTGACAATTTGCTCTATATTTTAAAGATATTCAAACAACTTGTTGAGATCATGAAATTTTTCTTCAACACTTTCTTAAACTGCCGAACAACCGATACTTTGTTTCAATAACTTGCTTATAATGTGACTCAAATATATTAAATACAATGGCGTTATTTAGACTCCGAATCTATCTCTTGAGGTATAAGGATTTCATCATCGTTTTCATAGTCTAGATTTTGTTCGAAAATCTTTATGTTCTCTAAAAGCTTTCCAAGATTTTACCTGCAAATATTGCACCTTTTATCATCAACATGAACAAATTTTTTCAAGCTATTCTTGTACTACATCAACATTTAAAGCTTGTGCAATCTTGTTTTCTCCTAAAATTTCTATCTTTTTTCACTCCTTCTTCATAGGCTTTTATTATCATTAATTTGACTTCACAAATGCATTTTTGATAACACGGATTGCCAATCTTCTTTGACATAATTTGCAGCATCGAGCATATGATATTCTGTATGCAATTCCAGAAGCACCATGTTTTAATATCTCTTCTTTAATTTTGTTTCAAATTTTTACTCCTCACATAATTTATAAAAGTGAGGACCATACTTGATATGAAGATCTTTGAATCTCTTTTTAGAAGTTGTGATTATGTTCAGATCTCACGGTTGTTTCCAACTTGTGGAATTTGAAAAAAAGTAAAATGATCCTAAGATTGTCCCATTCAAAAAGCTTCAAAGTGTTATGGAGCATTGTCCAATAGTAAAAGAATTCTATGATATCCCATGGTTTTGACTCATTGAGGTGTTTTCCATACGGGTCATTTGATTTTGCAGCCAAACCAGACAATTAAGAAGTGATATTGTCAAGGTACGCATCTACCGGCTAAGTATGCACAATCCTTCCGTGTTCAAATTGCGTATTTAGACAGAAGATTACTTTACATGTATATCTATGGAGGAGAACAAGATGAAATGATGACATGCCACACTGTGTGATTTGTGAGAGCCGAGCTAAAGAAGAATTGACGAAAGAGTTTCTTAATGGTTTATGGATTGGTTAGTGAGCTATACACACAACGTTCATGAACCTAAAGAACAGATATTGGTGGAGGGATATTCACAAAGATATGGTAAGCTTTGTGGAAACATGTCAAAAAAGTATTTCTTATTAAAACATGGTGATAGTTTGCATCTTTCAATTCAATCGCTTTTCATTACAAGTGGGTTTTGGATTTGATAACTATGAAAATGGAAGTGAAAGTTATGATGTATTTGGTTTAAGCAAGAAAAATTCTATCAAATTTGGTGAAAGGAAAAAACTCTACTGTCCAAGACAACTGAAAGGGTATGCAGATTTCTGTTTAAAAATGTTGTGTGTCTCTATAGATGTGTTGGGAAAATACTGCTGATCAAGGAAACTAGATGCTCACTATGTGAGATTTTTTGTCGAGATGTGGAGTTAGGCCAACTTTTTTCATGGCTTACAACTTAGAAGGAAATGCAAAGAGTGAGAGTTATCATCCACCTATGGTGAAAGCTATTGTGAAATTATGTAAAGATGAGGCTAGCAAATGAACTCGTTATCATTTGGGTTATGGGCAGATCGCACAATTCATAGTTTTGTGACATGCTATATGCTATATGAGATGAACTTACGCAAGGCCAAAAATCAATCATGCCAATCAAAAAAAGCATCCTTACATTTAGTAAATGCCTTGGAATCATTATGTGACTAAGAAATATCTTTTGGCAATACGCAAACTACATTTGGGGAGGAAACCAAAGATGTAGAACTAGCAATGGAGAAACTTAAAAATGCAAGTCTAAGGAATAAGGAGAAATTTAATAAATGTCGTAGGTTGAGACCATAAAAATCGGCAAAGATGATTGGATGTTGATATATGACTAAAGTCTAGACAACCAACATATCACTTTCATGAGCTTTTTGAGGACATGATTTGGGCCTTATGTGGTGGTTTGCGTTCATGATAAGTCCACATATTTCTCAAGAGAGCTTGATGGTACAAAGCTCAAAGTACCTATTACTTGCAAGCGGCTCCATCCACATGAAACATTGTTAGATAAAATTTGTAAAGAACTTTGTAGTATGAATAACGAGTTGATTCCTTGAATGGCAGGTTTTGATGTGAAAATGATGCAAACGTAATCTTTCTGCACATTTACCACATGAATTTCTACACTTTTGCAATCCCCAATTCACAAAATTAAGTTTTTTCACTCTCAACCAAAGAGAGTGACAAATAGGACATGATACATCGCGAGATTCTCTTGATTCAGATACTTGAAATGTCTTTCTGACATGTAAAACCAAATATCATAATACTTCAACTTGCTGTAAAATGCCCATTGCTTGTCTTCAAAACATGTCTTCTCAAGTGTGTCATCGAGAACTCACAGCTGTTCTCCTCGCTCCAATTCCAATGAGTCCCCGACATGGGAGGATATCTCTATGCTCCTGAAATTCCAAAATTAAATTGGATCGTGAGATACCATCATGCAAGCAGTTTGCTTAACAACCTCGTTGCAAGGCTCGTTAAAAATTCATGTTTCGGAGATTCATGTCCAAAAGGAGGTCTTGAAATAGATGAAATAATGACGAGGAAGCATTCCGTTTATTCTGAGGATCAAAAAGTAAGCCCTGACCTTCTCGCTTCACTTTGGCCCAATTCTGACAACTTCGCTCTAACACTGGAGTCGGTTCATGTGCTGGCCGTGTGTGAACACAGCTACGATGCCATAGTCACCATTGCGGCAACGGAGAAATGGTCTCTCACTTTCCTCTCGAGTCCTGGCTCGATGCAAAATTGGCAACAATTCGGGAGTCAGACACAGAAGAGACAAAGCACATGAGAAGCATATTTGTAACTCATGACGGATGAGGAGGATGGACAGTTCCCCACGCCCATGCCTCACAGCACATGTCCTCGACTCCTTGCACCACTTCTGACTCAAAGACCGAAATCGCTCCTGGACTCTGCCTCGGCCACTGCGGGCACTCGGGCTCACTGACCTGGTCCCCTATCCTTCGTTAGAACCCCTATGGACTCTGTGTTCTCTCTGTTTGTGGCCTTCAGCAGGATGGTTTTAATGCTCGTCAATCCAAGGTCCGTTTAATCATCACAGCAGCATTTGGTTGGCATAATTGGCCGGCCTCTGCTTCTCGTGTGTCTTAGTTTTATAAGTAGTTCCACGAATTTTAGCAGGCCATGAAGACAGCCAGCCGATTTCAGAGTACTAACAATCGATCTTTCTGTGACGGTTTCTTCCCCTTTCTACATATAGACACTTCACTTCGGAACCTGCTTTGAACATATATTGTTTGTTCGAACGTAATTCACGTAGTTTCAGCTGAGTGAGCTGGCTACCTACATCAGTATCAAAAAAGTCTCGTGAATTCATCGATTTGCCGCTATGGTGATGACAACGGAAAGGAGGAAGGTGGCAGACATGCTAAATTTTCTTCGGGGCGAGAGGACTCGAGTCCAACTAGCTCTCATCACGGTCCAGTTGGGCTACGGTGTCTATTATGTCCTGACCAAGGCAGCCATAAGTGGGGGAGTGAACCGGTTTGTCTTTGCAGTGTACAGGGACGCAATTGCTCTGTGTCTACTGGGTCCACTGGCAAAATCTTCTTCTCAGAGAAAAATCTACGAACTCCCTTGACAGTACCCATCTGCTTGCTCATCTGCTTGTTGGGATTCATGAGCATATATCTGCAGCAGACTCTATTTCTGGCCGGTTTGGCCTACATCAACACGGCTTTCGCAGCCGCCATGCAGAATGCCATTCCAGTCTTCATATTCAATATTGCAGTCGTCTGTAGGTTCGAGGTCCGCTTGAACAAACCCGATGGCATGGCCAAAGTGGTGGGCATCTTCTCAGCAGTAATTGGGGCTTTCACGATGTGTCTTTACAAGGGCCCAAATAATTTCGGCACAGAACCGGAACAGCAGGAGCAGGCAGCTGAAAACGTGGCGATCAGTGGTGCGGATAGTTGGCTGGCCTCCACTCTGCTCAGCTATGGAGTCGATTACTGGCAGATGGGTGCTCTGTGCCTGGTGGCCAACTGCCTCTGCATGGGTATATACACGACCCTGCAGATCCCTGCATTGAAGAGGTTCCCAGCCCCTGCCTCGCTCTCTGCTTCTTCCATCTTCGTCGGAGCCTTATGTCTTCTGATCACGGGGCTCTCGAGCGTGTCTGAAGCTTCTGAATGGATGCTGCACTCTCCTGGGACGATTGTGTCAGTGGTGTACGCTGGAGCTGTTGCTTCCGGACTCAACTTCTCTCTGCAGACATGGGCGAATCAGCGTGGTGGCCCAGTGCTTGTAGCTGCCTACATTCCTCTCCAGACTGTGTTCTCTGCAGTTCTTGGAGTTGTCATTCTAGATGACCCTCTTTACTTGGGAAGCGTCATCGGAGCTGTGCTCATCTTGGTCGGTCTGAACCTCGTCATCTGGGGCCAGCGTCTGCTCAGGCTTGCCAAAGAGAGAGATTGTCTTGCATTTCCATTTCAAGCTGCGGAAGATGATGTTAAAGTGCCTCTGCTCCAAAATCAACCAGTTAACACAACGTACGGCTCGGTTCGAAGATGAGATGGGCATACATACATCTGCTCACTTGCATACCTGGAGTGAACTTAACACAATAGGCACTTTGTGACTAGGAATCTGGAAACGAAACATTCTCTGCCATCAGATTATGTTACTAGCGGATACAAACGAATCACCAGCAACCGACAGAAGTTTTCTGTACAGAAGAGTCAGTCCACGTATTAAAGACGTGTATCATAATTCTCTGCGAGCGTTCATGGTCAAAGACTTTTGTGCAATCTATAGTACAGTATCTTCACTACACAGAAACATAGCACAATTTTCACAGGCGTGCAAAGATGCAGTCATAACCGGTGTCGGAAATCTCTTCATGCTTCAAATTTTACCTGAAGACTGCACTTCATTCTTTCATTGTCCGAGAATCTTGTGATCCACCCGCATGATTGCCAGGAATCTCCTAAACTTCTCAACCCGTGAATCACAAGACATTGTCCGCTATGCTGCTTTGATACAGAGAGGGCTGACACTTGACAATCCAGAATTGCTGTATAAACGGGAGTCATGAGATCTCAAAATTTTCTCGAATTTATTTTAGAAGGCACGTGGATAGAACGAGAGAACAGTTGCATCATCTGCCGTTATTAGAGAATTTGACCGTAGAGTTCATCCGGCCCATTCAAGGTGAACTTACCACCTGGCACAATCGATATCTAAGTCTATCAGGTCGAGCCATGGGACTGAAATTCACAGCTTCATAAACAGCAAAGAGCGACGCCGAAGAGTATGACAAGGTGGCTCTTATCTCACGCGTCAACTACTAGAGCGATCCGGTAAGTCATTTGATCATTGCAGCCGATATTCCGGTCACATGCCAAGTACACCAACTTTTTCGATGTTTCCCTGATTGCAGTGCTTGTGGAAAACCGCCAGAGAAGCTCGGTCATTTCCAGCTATTGAATACTTTAACTCTCCGCAAAAGCAGTTCCGGTTCGTGACTAAGAAACAAAGTATTGAAGCACTCAATTATCTTGAGAAAATAATATTTGTAATTTGCAAGCCTATTCGAGATTGAATTGAACTTGAAGCATTTGACGGACTGATTGCAGCTGTACCCTTGTAATCCAAGTCCTCTCAGGCACAGAGATGAGAGTGTTTGAAGACGCAACTCTGATTGAGCAAGGCACACCGTTGAATTGTTTTGAACTCTACTATGTGAAAACAGACACCTGCAACTAAATCATCAACATGAGTTCGAAGGTCTTTGCTGACTAAGTTGCAGTAATTGGAATGAAGCACCATAATTCTCAGGCTCGATATCTCATGGTCCTTTCGACCATTTTGAGCGTGCAGCCGGACCTTAAATTCCAATCATTTATTGAAACCTATCCACAACTTTGAAGGCCAGTGCGACGAAGCATGCTACAGGTTCAAAAATTAAACTAAAAGCGTTAGCTGTTTCGTTGAAAGTGATAGCAGACCGATATACGAGGTGATTATATAGTATAAGGTCACCTAGACGAGATTAAATCAAACGGCTTGCACAGCTGAGGTCATCATACGACGGCTGGCTGTACAAAGGAAATGAGTGGACTCTTAACGGTGGAAAGTACAGCACTTTGAATTTGTGTATACTATTAATCTGAATCCTAGTTAGAATATACATCCGAACGAGGAAATTTATGCGAAGACTCTGACGATTGAACCAAAGAGACGGACGATTAGGTCTGCTTTTGTCAAAATTCTGCATGTGGACGGAGATTACTAAGTACTAGTGATGTCATTATCGATACCGAGTATGTACATGAGCCATTATCCAAGGACATCGTCTGCATTATACAACGCGTGAAAATCCTTTACGCTGGCTATGAAAGGTCTTGAACTTATCCTTTCCTAATAATCAATGTACAGCCTAAAATGCCTTCAGATTCTGTTGCACCCACACCACTTTGGATAACAAAACCGTTACATAGCTACTGTCCAATATTTGTCAGAAGTCAAGGCAGTTAACAGTCTATTTGCAGTCACCTGTGAGAGATAGCGATTTGGACTGTATATTTGTTTATATCTCGGTTTTACCTGAATCAGTCTTAGAATAGCTACACTCTGATGGAAGAAACGTTAGGTATGCATACTTTTGCATCAGCACTGCCATGTTTATTATAAGTAAGTTATATACCTCAGGCCTTGCCTGCAAGCAAGGGATTGTTCTAAGCAGTTGCTTGCATTAGCCGTCTTCTGTGACTTCCAACACGAAGAATGATTTCAGCAAGATAGACAGCCTTCCGAACGACCCTTAAATGCGCTTCTTCTTTCAAAACTAGCTGATGTGTGTACGCATCTGTTGAGACTTCGGAGAATGCTCGCCTTCTGCAAAGCAACAGTTTACAGGAGTTTGTGCATCCAGTAATAAACTGTGGTGCTAACATACTTGAACGGGTGGGCATGTCACTGTTCCAAATACTTGATCCCAGCTTATGGCAATTTCTTTGAGTATCATTCAATGTCATAATGTAGACTTTTGTTCTAGCTATAAGTTCTTGTTCGAGCGCCTTTGTTTCATAATTAAGATCGATTAGATGACAGGAAAGTCTTCCACGAAGCTGCTTTCAAGACAATTCAGTTTCACTAAAAACTTCCTTCGTGATTATAGCTGTTTGCAGCTTTTGGTGCATCAAGTGAACACATCAGATTCTCACCAATACGTCATATAGTTTGCCACTGGTGCCCTGAAAGATACAAGTTAGGAAGGAGTTGATATTTAGACGCACTCTTGATATCTTGACTAGCTGTGACCAACCTCCGGCAGCAGGTTGTGTGTGGCTCATGTAAGCCTTAACTCATGACTGCCCATCCAATATGTGTCAAAGCTGACAGTCACAGAAACTGCGGATGCTATGACAGTTTTTTGATGCAAGATTTTGGAGATCAGATTTTAAAAGCAGCTGTAGATTATTCTCAAATCTGATTATTTTCGACGTCCTTTCTCTCTTAGCCACTATTCTTTCCGCTAGCTTTTCCTAACTCCACAGGGAGCGATTGAAATAGGTCATTGCTTCATATTACGGACCTGACGGCATAGGAACGAGCACCTTTCTGGAGATAATAGAAAATGTATGGCCCTTGGTCATGTTCAAGCAACAACACTGTGACCTGCAGGAAAATTTCATAGGAGTTCAACTCAAAGGTCTCGATTGTGGGCCACTAGCGTACTTGATGATCACGTCAAAAACGGTATGGACATGGTCATTGATTCTGCTAGTCGCTTGCAATCGAGTCCATTCACGAACCTTGTTGGCTGCAGATTATATTCTTCTGGTGACGTTACTTGTCATGAATTTGGAGAGAAGTTTGATGAGCTCATTCATGAAGTATGCTCGTTGCTTGCAAGGTAAATAACATTCCAAGACTCTTCGCTAGAAACGTTGGGTTAGGAGCAGAGATTCAGCTTCCCTTGCAAGCATTTCGTAGGCGCAATGTTCCAGTTCAATTCACTGATTGGGATAAGAAACCAGTAAGTACGCTGACACAAAGAAGAGGTCGAAGCTTATTGGCTAAATTCAGATCACTACTCTTTCGATCATACTAATTAACCCTGTGCCGAGTTGTTCACAGTATTGACTTCATCCTTCCTCCACCAACGTCACGATCGTATCAAATCTAGTCCAAAGTTTTGGCTACTGAATTTACAAGAATTGACCTTACCCCTTTTCTCCGAATCTATTTAACTTGAGCAAATCTTCCATGTGTCAGAGAGAATATTGTCTCTTACGAAGTGAACCTTCGTTCCTTTTGTTATTTATATCCTACGTTGTGCTCACTAATTCATCCAATTGTAATTCAGTTCAACAGATGGACAGCGGTTAGGCTATTGACGGAAGTGAGTTTTCAGATGTATGAAGTCCTTCAAATGATCAGGTACCTGCTGTTTCTTATCTGACAGGAATCCAGAGACATGAGAAGTTTCAGAGCAGAAGACACTGGAGTAGCGTCGCAGGGCAAAAGCGTATCTAATATCAGCTTCGGGACGACATAAGGAAACACTAAGCTCGGAATTAGATTTCTTGGTCCCATAAGAAAGCGTTGCACACAAGCCAGTAGTGCAGCGTCTAGTACTAAGAGGTCAGCTTACAGTCTGAGTGGGTGGGGTCAGCATGCAAACTACTGCCTTCCGTAACAATAGAATCCTGCATTATTTGAACTTGCTTGCAAAGCAGCTTGAATTTGTTCTACTTCTCGCTGCTGATGATTCCAAAATATATTTCATACTTGGAATGCGCGAATCAAATCATGTACATTACACAACCAACACTCAGACTGAGCACGTGTCCCCATCATCTCCAAAGCTCCTTCCAGAATTACAGAAATCTCTTTTGATTAACATTCAATTCCCTGGAGTTTTTTTCCAGGATGTTTCTAAGAATCAATCACACACAGCAAGGTCGATTTTCTGTGTAGGTAAAGCACAGTGACGAGAAAATCTATGGCCGGTGCGAAAAAGACTAAAGGTTTTTTTCTACCTGGATTTAACCATTACTTTAGGCTTAACAAGATTCGAGACCGATATGTAACACGCTTCTTAAATCTGGATTCGTTCTCTAGTACTAGCACCCAGCCTGGATTATAATATATTGGACAATTATACAAGAAAGTTCGTTAGTCTTCGGCCTGAAGCAAGGTTGTGACATCTAGAGCTTTACATTGTGATACAGCACCATTGATGACTTTCCCGACATGTACAACTTAGCCGTCCCTTCCCAGTTTTTCAAAGATGTAGAAATCGATTCATTGATTATTTCATATAGCGAAGTCGTAGCGTTCGCAACGTGTACTCTAAGTCCAAGTATTATGTACTTGCAGAAGTAGAATTTGCAATAGTTTTCTTAGTAATTGTGGATCATAGTTCTAATTCGTCAATCATTCTATTTTTTACTTGAAATAGTGGGAAAAAAACTTATGTTCTCGAATAAACTTGTGAGTAATAGAATAATTAAAGTATAAACCAAAGTTAAATTAATACCTAACCTAACTCTTAACAATCTTTCCGTTAAATCATGTTCAAAGAAACTTAATTTTCATGCATTATATAAGTAATCTATGAAATGTTCTAGAAAAAAAACTAACATAGTTCTAATGTAGATTAGAATTTATATGTAATCAAAAAGTAAAGATATATAGATAATAAAATTGTTAATAAATTCTTCTTGTGTTACTTATGCAAAGGCTACAAAATTGAAATAATAAAATTTAACACAATCCAAATGAATAATATTTCTCAATGCATTAGTTCGATTGTGAATTGATTTTGACTAGCTCAACCTTTCTATCAAATAGTAGGATTATTATAAAGTGATATTTGATATTAGTGTGCTTCACTTTTTTATTTATCACTTGACTTTTTCCAAAATGTAATGCATTCTCACTATCATTGATGCTTAATTTGAAATAAACACTATATGAATTTTCATAAATGATCATTGGTTGAACTTGTATGAGGTTATAGGTCAATGAGGTAATCCTCGTTAACCTGTAGCTCAAAAAAAAGTCCAAGACAACGATAGTCAAGTTTATTGCTCAGTCGGAGAGTGATTGTGATGCAAAAGTCATGTTTATCTCCAACGAAGATGTTCAGGTTATGCTTTCAAGATTTATTTGCATTTCTCCCTGCCACTCTTAAGCTTCTACAAACCTTGTCTTCATGTCTTTGTCAATCTCCACAAATCTAGTGATCAAATCTTGCGCAGTCAAATTTTTTGCCAAACTTAAGTTAAAAAACTCAAAACATGGATGATATCCATAGTTTATAAGAAATGAAGTTTGATACATAGACACTTGAAATGCATTGTTGACGTCAAACTCTTTGACTCAGAGTAGATTCATTCAATTGTCTTAATGATAGTTGATAGAGCAACTCAAATACTTCTCCCATATTTGATTCAACTTTTTAGTTTGTCTATTTGTCTAGTGATGATAGATTGATCTTCACTTGTATGATCTTGAACATTGATTGCCAAAACTTGCGCGTGAATTGCTAATCATAATTAAAGTTGACGTTGTTGAAAATTTCATGATATTTTTACACATTCTTCTAGAAAATTTGTGATTTCTTTACATTGTGATAGTTTTTTCTGCAAGGCATCATCTTTGTCAAACTATAGATAAATCACAACGACATTTAAATCAAAAGATTTGAATTTTGCATAATTCACATGAATATGGATGTACATCAGATTTTTTTAATTGGCAGGGGTTAAAATAATCCACATGGCCTACGACAAGAGATTTTAGATTTTGGAGATTTTTGTCACATGATGTGACATAGTACTTCACAGTATGTTATATTTGTGGCCATCAAAAATTCCTAGATATTAGCTTCATAGTTTTGTTGTAACCAACATGTTTTGCTAATGGAAAATCGTGACGAGACAGTAGCATTCGGAGTTGGCATGGATCCTTAACAACATATATTAATAAGTGATAACTTGAAACCTGTTAGTATAATAGAAACATGATTCTTTTACACCATCATGCCATCTTCAAATTCTTGAAATGTAAGTAGGTTGGTTTGAAGTTTTCAAATCTATAATCTATGAATTAAACTTTTGAAAGTATTGATTTGAAAATTTTCTAGTATTGGAGATGCCAACATTGTGTTTCAAGGCCAAATTATTAGATTGTAAACTTACTTGAATATCTTAGAGAAAAGATGCATCAAACTAAAGTGTGATGCGCATGGTCTTTAGTTGAAGTTGTTCAGGCTAGGCTTGATAACGGTAATCTTTAGCGAATCGTAGGCTACATCTTTTTCCCTAGGTGCAAACTATGATCTATTTAAAAGAATGTCGGATCGAATTTGCTAAAAAAAGTACAATATGTGATGGCAAAATTGAAGCGTGAAAGCGATATTATCCGACGGTCTTTTTGTCAATTTAGTACTTGTCAAACAGGAAATATTAAAGAAAGATATTAATGTAGACAATGACTGAATGATCTAAGATAATCTTCGAGAGAATAATACCATTCTTGAAACAAGTCAAATATGACTATAAGTTGCTTGTTTTGAATTTTATAATTGATCTTGGTAGTATGTATTTTTGCAAATGAAACGCAACAGGATGATTGCGCATGTCTTCGTTAGGTTATGAAAGTAATGCTCCAATTTCAAAGTTAGAAGTATCAGTTTTTATCAGGGAATCAAGATGCGTTAGAATAGATCCAGTTATAAACCTTTTTTTCAAGTTTCAAATGCTTAGTTTGTTTCTACATTACATTCAAGCTTGTCTTTGCAAGTCAATAAGATCAACAATCTTGGAATAATTTTCTATAAAGATTCAATAGAAGTTTGCGAAATTGAGAAAGCATTGTACGTCTTAAATAATGGCCAATTTTTTCCAACTGATGACTGTTTAAATCTTCTCTATGTCCATGTAGTATTGTTTCAAGTACAACTTTAAAATACAAACATCGATTAATCCTACTTAGTCATTTTTAACCAATACAATTTTCAAATAAACAATTCAGTTTATTCCAACACAATTTTTTAAAAATAACTTTGGCCAACTATACATATCCGTTATTTCAATGGTTGTTTCAAGTTCAGTGTTAAATAGTCTTTGTTTTTAAGGTTTGATTCAAACATAATTTTAAAAAAGAAGCATAGTTCTAATTTAGATAATCTTGACAAAGAAAATTGTCAAGATTTTGTTAAAGCAGTACAATGCTTTGGATGAAAGCCGAGTATATTGACCAACTAGACGACAACGGAATATGTAATATTTGTGCATTTTTTGCATCCTATAATTTTGTTCTTCTTTGATTCTAGACGAACTCATCATTTGAGACCTAAACAACAAAAAAGTTGTTCTCTCTGTAATGCATCTATCTCGTTACATTGTATCAAACCACATTACATAAAACATGATTTCTCTGCATTTTCACATTTTCAGAACAATGGAGTCATGTTTGCACACTTCTGTTGATTGTCGGTCTACTCAAGACCCGACTAATGGTAGATCTCAGTTTCTTTTTTTTTTAGGTCTACCAGCCCTTACAATCTCCTCGTACAAAAATATACTACCATAACATACTACCCTTCATAGTTTTGAACATTGACTTGTCATGATTTTCTTACTTACTTCATTCTATTTCTTACAAACGCGTGTGACAATCAAATATTTTCACATATTAATTTTAGCAAGAGAAAAAAAAAAAACTTAGACTTTTTCTTTATAATTAAATATCAACCACTACCTACATATGATAATCTTTTTACTTCCTTCAATCACTTCCATACAAACATGTGGCATAATTAAATGTTTCACATATTAACATAAGCAAGAAATATAATAGTACTACCTAAATAAATAAATAGGATCAAATATCGACGATTATCATTGGATGTTAATCAAGGTGGACAGCGGTGTGAAAGAAAATTCCCGTTTGAATTAGTACAGATTCTCAAAGTTGAAATATCCTCTCTTGCCAATTCTATTGACCATGTGCAATGATATGTCTTAGCTTGCTACTCTTGGTTGGAATAAACAGAGTTCAAACATCTTCCAAACTTTCAAAACTGTACATCTCGAATTATAACTCTTAAATAAAAAAATTCAACACACTCAAAATTTGATTCTTAATTTAAATATTTTCAATTTTAGTTTTACCACTTCAAATATTATTCTAGTATTAGCACGTAATTAAACTTCAAAATGTAACAGAAAGTGATTAAAATCCACATGCATCAATTTAAAGTTTTAATTTAGACTATTTACTTAGGTAACAATGGAAAAAACATGAAACTATAAATTAGAAATCCTTGCAAAGATTGAAACATACAACCAAGAATGTACCAATTGAAAGCAAATAATGTGAATTTTTAATCGAATATATATATATATATACATACATACATACATACAAGAGTAGGATTGCTTTCAAATTTCTTAGGTATTGGTATATTCTTGGTTATACGAATTGAATATATATAAATATTTTCTTGTATTTTACATTGAGAAATTTCTCAATGTAAAATACAAGTTTCAGCACAAATCTTTATAAATAAAATATAATTGTTTTCTTCAATTCCAAAACTTCGCATATAGTGCGACACGAGACTATGAAACCAAGTATATGGACAATCTAATCAGAGTAGATTAAAATGAAAAGAGTGTAACCTCTCTCTTTTTATCAACAGACGCTCACCGCTTTGAACCAGATAAAAAGCAATAATGAAGTTTTTGCTTTTCATTGGAGGAATCAGATTATGCTCAATTTCGACTTAACTACATCAACTCACACCCTTTCGATGAAGCGCGTCCGAAAGCAAAGTAGGAAAAAATTGCGAGCATCAACCACGTCAGCAAGCAGAGACCACTGCAACAACGTACGTGGTGGCGAGACATGACATGGACATGGACTGGCTGTGCTGCTGCTCGCACGCTCGCAGAGACCAGCGTTCGAACGATCAGGAGACGATATTCGATCCTCTGCAAACGCAGGAACCAGAGAGCGAGTGCAAGCAGGCGTGTCCCGCATTGACCAGAATCCATGAAAATTCTCACAGGGTTTTCTTTCGACCCCGCGCTGCAATGCGTTTGGAAGCCCGGCGGTCTTGCGGTAGAAAGTGCCCGATTGCTCACGTCGGGAAGGCCATTTTTTTCAGGACTGCGGAGTGCACGATTTTCCGCTGACGTTCTGTCTTCTTCAAATTTTAGGACATCGAGCTGCCCGGGTGCAGAGCGCATTGCGCTAGACAGAGGTAGAGGCAAGGATTTTGGAGCGGTGTCCTTGAATGTCAGTGGTAGCGTACCGAAAGAAGATGAACACGAAGAGGAAGAAGAAGTGGGCAATCCTGATCAACTGGAGAGGCGCCTCGTGTCTGGAGAAAGAGTTCTTCAAATTAGCAAAGCAGGTGCGATACGGCTGAATGTGTAGAATACATAATCCAGTGCACTTATGTTTAATACTATATCAGCTCGTGGATTAAAAGGGAATCCAAATCAATGGCGGGGTGTTAATTTGGGTTTAGGATGCACATTCTTATAAGCTGCTTACACTCGATTCTTCCTCTCATTGATTTGTTCCAGTTTCAATCTTGTATTGCAAATTTCCTCTGTCTCAATTATGTGAGTTGAAAGTATTATATAAGCACTTTGAAACAAAGGCAGATTTTACTTCGCCAGGGTAAGAAGCTCTATCAGCTACACGTAGTTGTTGTAATCTGTCGAGCCAACGCCATGTTTCCAGCATTATATTTTAAGCTCACATGTGATTCTCTCGTCCGTACAGATTTTACTGTCAGTTCCGTGTTGGACAAAATCAGACGTGGTAGATTAGATCTACGACCATCTTATCAGGTATGCTTCATACTCTGTAGCTCTGTGATGCATGAATCTCTTCACGCCTTCATCTGTTCTCTTCGGACACACACTACTGACCATCGACTGACTAGCTTATAGCATTGCCGTTGGATTCTCGTGGATCCCCTACCATCCTCATTCCCATTGTGTGAAAGTTACAGCTGCGCTCATGGGAACACTTTGCTCAGTTTTGCCTCTTTTTACCTTCTCTTTTATCAACTTTTTATTTTGAGAACCCTCCGGCTTGTTAGGGAATATGATAAATTTTACTGATTTACCATTTTTGTGTGTGTTCAGCGTGATTATGTTTGGGACAAAAGAACTGCCAGTAAACTAATCGAATCGGTGCTGTTGAATATACCACTCCCAACCATGTTCTTCCACGAGAGGAGCCAGTAAGATCGTCATCCCGTTCTAGCGACTCCTTGTCTTATGCGAAGACGACGAATAAGCCATAAGCTCCGGGCTTATGTGTTCTTCCTATGCTGATTACTTCTAGTTAAAGATTCGAGGCCAATATTCTAACTAGTACTTCAAGTAATATTGCAGCATATTAACCAGCTATGTATAAATGCAGCAGTGCGTACCCACCTTATTTAAAGTTTTATGTTGAAATCATAAAGGAGATGCATCTGTCCATCGATTCTCATGAATTTAGATGTCGTCGTGTCACTGCCCTCTACTGATCTTTATCATTGCAAGAGAATTGGAAGAGAAGGTGCATATGTTGGTTCTAAAACTAAAGGCTCGATACAAAGAAACTAGACTTGAGAAATCTCGTATGAAGCAGTTTCGCTAAAAACATTTTCCTTCAATGTATGTGGACACATCTTATAACGTGTAACTCTGGCCCTTCTCACCGCGTTTTCAATAACCATTTTGGCCTACAAGTGACATACGAGTAAATGTTTCAAACTTGACTAATTAGGAAATCAGCAACGATACCTGAAGTAACATGTTATTGCTATGCTTGCAGAGGTCTGTTGGAGGTTGTCGATGGGAAACAGCGTCTGACAAGTATCTGGTAAGCATTTTATTGCCAAACTGCTTGGCAGCGAAAATCACTGCTTTTGTATCATCTTTCCGTCCTGAATATATAACACTATTTTTGAAGCGTAGGTGCTTTATGGAAGACCAGAGATTTCCGGATGGATCAGATTTTGCTTTGACTGGACTTGAAGTTCTTGACGAGGTGAGAATATATCCAAAACATACTGTGCAGGTTGCTTTATTTTCATTTGGCCTGAAATTCCTTGAACCCTTTATTTTTCACGAATAATCTGCATTAGCTCTATAGTGCATTGGTGTCACTTTTGTGCTAAAAAATTTACTGCTTTGATACTTAAATCCAGGAAATAGTTGTATTTGCATGGCAGTCTCATTTCACACATGGTGCATAAATTTGAAATGGAAACTATCACTCACTTCTCATTATCAAATTCTCCAGCTGAATGGGAAGAAATACACGGATCTCGAAGAATCTTTGAGGGAGGTATATAGCCTCGTCAGTATCGCCTTTGTCTCCTTTTCACTTCAAGATTACAATATCTAAGGCATGTTTTGCCCTCTTCGGATCAAATGCTGCTTGTCTTCACTAGAGTGTCTTGGCTTTCTCATATACCCAGCTATCATATTAGGTCACAATTTGACTAAAGGCTGATCATGTAGTATCCACCAGGTTATGCAAGACTTTGCACTCAATGTCCACACGATATCTCGACATTCAGATGATGAAGTTGTGTTTGAGGTAAGTTAATGTGTTTAAGTTCTAGAAGTCTTCCGATGGATTACTAATTTACTGCCCTGAGTCAGGAGGGGTGGATCTAGTCAACTACAGATATCCTGTTGACGCACTGTTTTTGCCCATTGCAGGTGTTTGAGCGGCTTAATATGGGCTCCACGCAGGTAGCTGTAATCAATGTTTGCTGTCTGCTTTACAGAATTGTCTTGCTGAAAGTTAATAAGTGCTTCGTCAATACTGGTCAGTAGCAGTGCTCTCTACCATGATCTTGAATTTTTAAACTTCTCACATACAACTTCCAAAGCTATGTTTTAGGTCTTCAGCATTTGATGATTGTCATGTTTATTTTTCTTACAACTGGTCTGCTGCTACTGCAACAGCTCAATGAGCAGGAGCTTAGGAATTGTGTCTTCCAAGGCAGGTACTGGTTATGTTTCTGGGCTTATGATGTATGGATGATAAGTTTTGAAATTCCCTGTCTCTTCCCTTTGGTCCATATGTACTCGCACTTTCAAGTCTGAAGCTACTGCGGTTCTTTTGTATGTGAATGACTAACAGATTGCAATTTGTTTCAGTTACTTCATGAATCTCTCGTAACTCGTAATCGAGAAGACCAACCAAACCGCAAAAAGTGCTTTCAAACTTGATAACGGCAGAGTAACATTTGACTTATTTTATCTTGTCTTCATTCAACTCAGGTATAATGATCTTTTGGAAGAATTGGTTCTTCACCCAGACATGCTTCGTGCTTTTCGCCAGGAAATTCCTCACAAAAGGTGCTCCTTTCCCGTCCTTTTGTTATTCTCGATAGGTTTGTGTCAACAAATTCTTTCAACCGGCTGGTCATATGTTGTGGCTATATGTTGTGGCTACTAATGCGTTTATAAAACTAGAATAGTCGTTATTTTAACCGTCTGATTCAAATATAACTTCAAATAGAAGCATCGACCTACTTTACGGAATCTTGACAATTTTCTTTGTCAATATTCTGTTGAAGTAGGACAATGCTTTGTTCAGTTTCCGGGACTTGAACCCGGGTCTCTCGGGTGAAAGCCGAGTAACCTGACCAGCTAGACTACAACGGAATATGTAATTTTCGTGCATTTGTTCTATCCTATAATTTTGTTCTTCTTTGATTCTAGACTAACTCATCATTTGAGACCTAAACATCGAAAAAGTTGTTATCTTTGTAATGCATCTATCTCGTTACATTGTATCAAACCACATTACATAAAACATGGTATTCTCTGCATTTCCACATTTGCAGAACAATGGATGCATGTTTGCCCACTTACTGTTGAGTGTCGGCTCCTCAAGACCAGTCTAATGCTAACTCTCTGTTTAAGATTCTTTTAGATCTCTGAAGTGTTATATAGCAACTGTGCTAGTTCATAGATCTTATAAAATGATATAACAAGAACCCTTCAGAAATTCATGGATTGTATCAACTAGGTATTTTGCAAATGAATTTTTCATGTTTTTAAACAGATGAACTTTGATCGCCAAAGCCATATACGGCTAATTACAAATAAATCAAAGGATATGAAGTGCTTGGCCAAAACTTACCTGAAATATGTACGATTGGACAAAGGACCAAGACAAAACTTGGAACTTTGATTTTCTTTCTTTCTTTCAACCGGCTGGTCATATGTTGTGGCTACTAATGCGTTTATGAAATTGGAAATTGTGATGGCAGGATGCGAGACAGGGAGTTTATACTAAGGTTCTTTGCTATGAGGAGAAGTGGAATTGAGAATTTTTATCTACCTGTAAAAAATTGGCTGAACAATGAGATGAGAAGGTAACATGCTCAATTGCATGGCTTTGTTGCGTTGGAGATGCTACCCGATGTTCTGGTTCATGATAGGTTTTCCAATCGTTTGCATTCATCGCAGACATCAGTTTCTCGAGGAAGAAGATTTTAAGGTGATGAAATTCGACTTCCAGCGATGCATCAGACTCTCCGTCAATGTGTTTGGTGATCAAGTCTTCCGATTGCCTCGGTAACCATATCCTCAACTTTGCCTCTAATGTTGCAACTGAAGTTTTATGAACAATCATATTACTGCGATTGGAAGCTTGAGAACAGTCCTTATCTAACGGCGTCATCCCTTATTTCTGTTGCAGTGGACTGAAATATGACTCCGATCCGAATGTGTGCTTGTGGGACACAATTATGGTCAGTAATACTATCTTTATTGTTTTCGGAGACATTGTCCAAAGTACAATGTTGAATCGCAGTCTAACTTTATACTGGAAAATTTTAGCTCTGAGTTACATTTCTTTCTCAGTGGTCATTTTGCTGTTTTTTCTACTAGATAGAGTTGGAGCTTGCTAATCATTTTTTGCTTACTTGCTACGTGCACAAGTGTTTATGCACGTTAGCTTTTCTTCACAACAGCTTTTATTTTCTATTCGCAGTTTGGGTTTTTGAGGTACCGAGATGATGCGAGCGTTTTGAGTAAGAAGAAGTTGCTCGTTTTGGCCCTCAATGACCTCCTTATCTATGTAAGAAACTGGATGTTTGACCTAGCCTGGTTTTATACATTATGGTGTCTCATAATCAGGATACGTAAACAAAATGCTAGATTTAGATTCTGCAATTTATTTCCGTTGTTTGGTATAATATTAGTAATGGCTTCTTGATGTGCTGTGTACATAGCCTCTTGCTCTTCCAAGAAAGCATTATCTCATGAGTTGGCATGTCCATGCAGAACACTGAATTCAAGAGCAACTTAGTTTCTACTCCAAAAGCCCTGAAACTGCGTACTACAAAATGGTTACTTGTTTTGAGAGAACTTTTAGGACCGTCATAGTGTACAATATTTGTAATGGTTTCACAATTGATATAAGAAATATCTTCGATTTTTGTAGTTGTATGGTGTCAAGAATGGTAGCCAATGTCCATCTGGCTAGGGAAATAACCTCCAATCTCTTCTTGTATATCGTAAGTTTTTCTTCTTGTAATTCATGTGTTGCAGTTTCTGGCCTGTATGGTTTTTCTCTTAAGAAAAATCTTTATTGCATAATCTCTTGCTAACGAATTAAATACATACTGGGAGAGAAAGTTCAAACTTGCATTAGTGTTGTCCACCTCTATTAGGCTACGAACACATTATAATACTTTGAGAATTTCGATATAGTGGATCTTCACCACTTGCTTATTTCTAGATTGCTTTGATCAGTCTGAAAACAGATAATCTCCTGGCCTTCAATTTCTCGCATGTCCTGAGAAGGAAAATATCAAATAAATACCAATTTACAATATTTGCAGCTTTGGACCTCATTTAAGCCAAGTGTAATAGTCATTTAGAGTAGTCCACCCTAGAACAATCTTGCAGCATGACCACCACGTCCTTTCAACCTGAGCATGTCAGAACAAAACCCTGGCAAGACGTGAAATTGCATTGAAGAAGACTTGCATGCAGGTTCGAATAAAGTTTATTTCGATTTCTGCTTCCAAGAATTTCTTTCACAGTGCGTTGGTGCCAAGCATAACCTTGAGTCCATGGTTATGTACATGGTTTCATACTTGCCTTCAGTAGTGATTAGCACTGCCTTGGTGATCCAATCACATCATATCTTCAGGTCTAAGTACAGCACTGTAAATAACTCCAATGGTGTATCTTCATGCCTTTCATGACCTCATTGTTTGGACTTAAAGCAAAATCACATGTCTTACTAAAGTCAAGTTATTTAGTACACGCGTATTATTTGTTGATTACAATCAGGTAGTATCCTATTATAAATATTCAGTATTTTATAGAGTGGTTACTCTTTTCTGGAGAGCAAAGTGTTAAAGTCAGAACATCGTTTTTCCCCAGGCTTAATCCGAATATTCGATATGGGTCTGTAAGACATACATCTCGAATGCAAAGACAGTGTTCTCACAGCTATGAAGCGTGTAGGAAAGTATTATGCAAATTTTTTATGACATCAATAACACTCAACCCATGCGTGATGGGAATCGGGACAACCACAAGCTAGACCAGGTCGTTACAACTTCTGAACAGTGTTCACAACCTCGAACAGAGCAAATCTTCGTCCAGCCAACATGTTGTCAGAGATGTAAATAAAACCGTTTATTCGTATATGCGTCTACGGAGAAATACGCTGAATTGTGGCTTAAGAAAAGCACTCTGAAGAGATGATTGAACCCTTATATCACATCAAAAAATCTCTACCCATGTAGAATCAAAATTCCATCCGGAAGACCATGTCTACTTTGGAAAAGCATTCCAGACAAGGATTGAATTTGAATGAGGGCTTGGGTTGAACTCTTAGATTGTTATTTGTAAGGGCATAGTGAGTAGAAAAGTTTTTTGCTGGCAGCAATTAAATATCAAATTCATGTGAATATCGACTGCAATCTCAGGAATATTGGTTCAAGTAAAAACCACGCGGGGAGAGACATTAGCAGGATAGAAGAGTAGACTGGGTGAGCGGAGGTTGTGAAGGAGAAACTCTACGATATGCCGAAACGAAAAAGGAGAAAGTGTAGAAGGGAGACTGAAATACAGAATAAAGCGGGTAACCATTAGAGGTTCGAGTTAACAACCACCAAGAAGTTAACCGATGGAAAGATTTGGCGCGTAATATAAGATTGGAGGCAGTCTGAACTCGTTATTGTATTTGTTCCAGGTAAGAAGACATTAGGTTTGCTCATAATATAGATTCTATGGTAAAGTAGTTTTTAAAATTTTTTTTGAAAAGATAAAGTTTGAGTAATAGATGAATAAAAATATACATTTTTATGATGAGAATAATTAAAAGTAGATTGAATAAAGGATTCTATAGCAGATGACTAATTAAGATTAGTTAAAATCCATGTTAGATAATCCTCTGTTAAGGAGTTACTGTTTTTACTCACACTCAATGAAGTTAAATTAGATAGGTTATGATCTGCTAGAGTAGATGCCTCAAAGATTTTTTAATTAGTGGCGACTTGACTTAGAAAAAACTTAATAGATGGAAATCAGCATGCTCGTTCTAACGAACTGAAGACTTCTTGAAACAGATAAGGAATCATCGAGTTATGAGTGTTGGAAGTGACTGGTATGGATATGCAGAAGTGCCTTCGGTTTAGTAAAAGGCGGCGCCGACGGGAAGTAACTTCGGCCTTCGCACAAACGTTCGCGCGAGTTCATGAGGCGGTTAGGGCTTCAAGAGACAACAGCAGAAACCAGAGTTTCACCTAGACATTTCTGGAAAGTTCATTATCGAATTGAGAATTTGGCAACAATCGCGATTGACTAATTGAAAGCTCAACGATGGTGCGGGTTCTAGAACTTCGATTGAAGTCATTAAGAGTGCAAAAATTTGGATTCAGAGCAATTTGCGATGAGCTGATTGCCGCTCGGCTTGATTTCTTGCTCTGGGGTGAAAATTGGATTTTTGCGGCGATTGTTAAGGAGTGATACAAGGATCGCGCGTAGGAGGGGTATGGTATTCGTGATAATCCTGAAAGTTGGATAATTGAGCAATGGAATCAAGTCTTGGTACCGTGTGCAAGTCAAGAAGGTGATTTGCTATACGACCACCAAAGCGTGAAGGTGACTCAGCAAGAAGAAAAGACATTCGCAGTGTTGTTTAAGTTGCCTCGATCGACCAAGAATGGGGGGCAGACAACGGATTACATTGATCCGCTGAGACGCAATGTGGAAGTGGCACTGATGCATATTTTGAAGACTTCGTGAATGCCGTACATGACGTCTTGGCAAGTAGGATTTGTGGAGCGCGCGGTGATGAGGAAGCCAATTCACTAGGCTTGGATCTTGTGGGATGTCAACGACGGGAATGTTCACGATAGGTTTGGAGGATCTCAGATTTATCCATCCATGTTCTTTATTAATTACTATCGCGGTATGGGATTATTGACATAGGAGAAGAATAGAAAATTCTCGCTAGAAAGGGACATTATCAGACAAGAGTACAAACGAACTCTTGGAGGGAACGAAGTTGTTAGCGAATATGACAAGGATGAACCTGCGCGGCCATCGGCCAAAGTTGACATGTCAGATGACGATGTTGAGGAACGACCTGTGAAGAGGCGAAAGAGATTGCAGATGCCTTTGGCTTCGGAAGTTGTTGGTTGACGTAGTGGGTTGAGGACCAGAAGACCTGTAAGGTGAAGGCATGACGCAGACGGAAAGAAGTGCTGGATAGCAGTCAATGACATTTGATTGAGAAAGTTCGCCCGCGACCGTGCCCGCCCACGAGCATCTTGATGTACCCGCAGCCGTAGCCGCCCATAAAGGCTCAAAAATTTGCACCCGCATCCGACCCGTGCTCGTGCTTGTGTGCGCTACACGCGATAATAGTTCTTTGGCACAATACAGATAGTTGGTGTGGACAACGATGATGTATGTATTGACTGTTTTCATAACTTCTTCCATTTGATCAGGTCCATGTTCGAACGGAGTAACATCCAAATGTTCACCGTGGAAGGTTTCAGATGATTGATGAAGAGACCGTGCTACCGCTGTCGAAGAAGTTGTTCTCTGACATGGCGTTGGCCACCGGGATTGCAAGGATGGATCGTGCAGCTCGCGCCAGGATGGACTAAGTCGATGCTTTCGACTTCCATCAAAGCAAAATCCTCGTTGCGGAGATCTCCTCATCGGTCTCTTTCATCATCCTCTTCTCGGACTTGGAGAGCGTGTATGCCTCATACGCCTGAGCTCGGTTATGACTAGGATCTTTAAGGTCGTCGCGTTCAGAACGCCGTCGATATCGTCCTGATCATCGTCATCGTCGTTGCTCGAGATATTGTTGATGCAGCGGCGAGGAAGGACGACCGGGATGGCAACGCGCTTCCGTTTAAGGGTATGACGGTTGGGAGCGGTGGCCAGGACGAGGCGCTTATCGTCGATGGTAAGGGTTGGAGGGCTGTTTCGGACCATCGTGGACTTGATGATTGTAATGGCCTCGCGTTGAAGCTTGTCGTCGATTTCCAGCTCGCTGATGATCGGCTTCTGACGGGGGTCAAGGTACGTTGCCGCCGCATGCAGGGCCGTTAGCATAAACTTCTCGAGCATTGGTCCTTGATGAGATCTTTGATGTTCACAAAGTCTTTGGAATCAAGTGGGAGCGTCACCTCGACGCCGTCCTTGTCTTTCACCACGCGCTCCTCGTCCACAATGTCGTAGTGTTCCAACAACACCTTCCGCCAGTGGGTGACCAGATGCAATGTCGGAGTCTTGAACGCCTCGAGCTCCTTCGTGGCGATCTGGAAGAGGTTAAGGAATAGCACCAGCTCATGTAGGAGCGGTTGGTCGATGACGTCCATCTTCTGCTCCTGGTGGCGGAGGGCGAGCGTCTCGTGGTGGCTCTCAAACTCGCAATCGATACTATTTGTCATAATCAAGATGCCGACCCAGCGGGTCGCCACGGCCTGCTTGAGCTTCGGCGTCAGCTGCTTGTTGAGCCCTACCCGCTTCACGTACGTGACGAGCGCCTTGCAGTTGTCGAGCATGTCGAACACGACGGGAGCGTTAGTGTAGAACTGGTAGTACGGCTTTGACTTCTTGCTGTTGACGATGCTCGTCCGCTTGTCGAGGACGAATGACTCGCAGGTGCTGATCGAATGGTCCGCATAGCCATTCCACTGGAACTCGGAAGGCAAGCCGTCTTGTCCACAGTTGTTCAAGGCGTAGTCGGTGGTGACCTTGATCTGCTCCTTGACCGGCCCATTCATGTTGTCGAACTCCCTCGTGAACGAGATGATGCAGTGTTTGAAGGTTTTGAGAATGGCCACGGCTGTGTGTGACACTCCTGGGAATTGGTCGACCTGCAGGATGCGGGCGTAATGCTTGAAGGCGGCGTCAATGTAGTGCATCGTCACCGACATGTACGCGATGCTAGTCAATGGTTCAGTCCAGATATCGAGAGTGCACCCGACGTCCATCCTGTCCTGAAAGTGCGCCTGAAGTTCGGTGATGAGGACTTGGCAAAGCGTCTGATACGTATTGACCGTCACCTCATCGCTGAGAAGATACTTAATCCGAATGGGGTTCTTGGAAGCGACGCTAATATCCAGGACCGTCTGCAATAAGGACTGAAAGCCTTCGTCGGAGACGATGGCGAATGGGCACATGTCGACGGCGCACATGGCGGCACACGACTTCACGAGCATCTGTTTCTGGGCGGCGATCGGTTGAACAGTTTGAGCGTGCCCATGAGCTGGCAACGACTGACTTCGGCGGGCAGTTTTGCTTGCGCAACGACTTAGTACCACAAGACGAAGTCCACGAATAAGGCGTGCTGCACTTTTTGCACCCCACAAAGATGATCGTGATCGCATCCGACTCCTGCACCTCCACGCGTTGGTTATCGCAGATACGAACGACGGGGCCGAACTCATCCCAAATGCTATTCGACGACGGCAGCTCCTTCTTTGGCCAATTTACGACGACGTGATCGGGCACTTCAGCCTCGAGCAATGACTTCTGAAGCTCTTTCTTCACCTCATGAGCCTTCATTATGGATGTAGCAAGCGAGAGCAGACATTATGGATGTGAAGCTACATGCACATGCAGTCAGGCAGACACAAGAGAAATAACAGACGCAAAGTTCAAACAGCTACGGAGTTAGCAAGTCGTGTAGTACACAATATTCTGGGTTCTTACCCAGATTTTTCACTATCCAGAAAATTGCTTTATTTGATGGTTCATATTGCGAACCAGATTGAATGGTGCTGGCAAAAAATTGACAGAGTACGGCGTGGAATTCTGGCCACAACCCTAAAAAAACGCAACCAGCACCCAACCAAACCCATTGATTTATTCGTGCATATGTGATGTTCCACCGTAGCCGCACCCACACCTTAATTGAAAATGATCACCCGTAGCCGTACCTGCATGCTGCTGATATGCACCCGGTGATCACCTGCCCGTTGCCACAAGGTGCATCCGTGACCTGCGGGTCTTGGTTGCCCAATGTCAGTCATTGCTGGACAGTGCAGCGAGGCAACATCACACACTCAGCTATCTTCGGATCATTAGACTACAATGGAATTGTACGATGCAGAGACATAAGATGAATGGCCTTCGGCAGAAGATCTTTGGTCTTCGGAGTGACGACCTCCAGATATGCCTAAGGAGAGAACTTTGGCAGAAGACAAAGAGGGAGAAGACGAGACCGATACGAATACTTCGGATCAACTAGAAGTGACTTCGGGCGAAAATCTTCAGTCTTCGAGCAAACAAACTTCGGACATGCGCAAAGAGAAATATAGTACTTTAGAGGTTCCCTCTTCGGATGAAGTACCTTCGGAGCAGTTTGCGGCGACAGTTGGAAAGACAGTTACGGAGAAACCGACGCTGTATTTGTGTCAGGTGTCTTTGGGAACAATCGAATTCGATCAAGGGGAAGGACCTTCGGCCTGTGAGCCGAAGTTGACAGAGTTTAGTTTGTCGGATCGTTTGTCGGAAGTTGTTTTAGTGAAAGGATTGTTTAGTTAGTGAAGTACTTAGATAGGAAGATGATGAAGTACTCGGTGCCAACGTCTTCGACGGGTTCTTATGTAGAGTTGGTGCGCAGACGGACGAAGGCAAAGGCAACTGCAATCGTTGGGATGACCGAACGAGTTGCAAGCTTGACTTCGGAGTGTGCGACCGTGACAGTTGCCTTGCAGGAGCCGGAGGAGCAACCTGGGGTGAAAGTGTTGGAGTGCAAAGAACTTCGGTGAGAGTGAGTTGCTGAGAGTAGACTTCGTACGCAGAAGGAAGAGGAGTGCAAGGCCATTTGGATTGAAGTCTGTGCAGTTTAGAAGGAGAAGGAGTAACTTTGGGACGGATTGGAGGAGTCTCAGGGAATGTTTCAGAGAGAATTTTAGCGCACGGAGGAGCTGAGAGAGCATCTGGTGGGATAGAAGGGATTTGTGGTTGCCGAAGTAGCTCATTGGGAGAATCGGTTAGCTAACTGCGAGGCTGTCAGATCTTCGGAGTTGAAGCGCAGGAAAGAGTTAGATGTAGATTGTAGAAGGTTGCAATCTCAATTGTCGGTAGTTGAGAAGCAATTGGCCATTGCTCAGGCAATTAGTGGAGACGGAGGCGACCATTAGACATCTGGATAAGGAGACAGATGTTGATTTGCAAGCTAGAGTAGAACGTTGACTTTGCGGTTATGTGGATTGGGAGATCCAGAGCACGAAGTGGATGAAGTTAGTTTCATTGGAGCGTAGATTGAGAGGATTGAAAGCCAGCGAGGTGGTAGGACATCAAATGTTAGGTAGAATACTTAGTTCTTTCATATCTAGTTTGAAAGATACTAGGGAGAGCTAAGAGTTAAAACTCACAGCAGTTTTGCATACGATAGGAGTAGTGAGGAGCTCTGCGGATGTGGCACCTACTGCGTCCGTGGACATCGCACCTGATGGGGACTTGCCGATGATGTCTCTGGGTGTTTGTTGTGAAGAAAGTGGTCCAAGGCTCTGCCTTTGGGGTGTTTTTTCATGAGACAGTTTTCAATCCTAAGTTTGCATTCCTCCGCACGTTCGTGAGTTGTGCGTTTTGTCATAGTGCGAGAGTTGCTTCGATTTGTCGAAGATACCACATCTCAAGTAGAAGAGTATCCAACTCGAGTGTTCTGAGTGGTGTATAGTGTAGCTCAGTATTAAAGCAAACTTGTAGATTGATTGCTCGATGCAGCAGGCTGAGCATGTAACCTTGTCGAGTTTCCCTTCTGAATATCAAGTGCAGATTCGCTTGCGATTTTTTTGATATTTACTTGATGTATTTCAAGATTTTGATGTGATTACATCTTGCATTTGTATCGCCTTCGGATTAACACTTGTAAATGCTTCTAAGAGTGCTTGAGAAATAAAACTTGTCAATAGAATGTTAATCGGAACAATATTTGAATCTCTGGTATTGTTTGTGTCCTCGTTGTATTGAATCTATATCATTCTGCTTCATTCTAGTATTTATTTGTTGTTACATATGCGAAGAACTTCTATTCTTTATGACAATTAGTATCTTTTGATTTAGGATGTCATATTAGGAACATTATTAGTTAACGTTCTAGTGCTTTTGACACTAGTTAGTGATTGACTTTTGGGGTATTTTTCCTTGTTGGTGGATTTCGCTTGTATTGTGTTTTTCAGCCTTTTGACCCTCTGGATACCTGGGCTTGATCTATTACCATTTACCATATGTGAAATATTTTGCGAGAAGTCTTTGTGCCATTTTTGTTTTTTGCACTCCTCATCTTGTTACATATGATTGTTTGTTACTAACTAAACTCTAGCTGAAAAAAATCATGATATCTCAAGAATGCACCATTTAATCCCACCCAGAGTTAACGAAGAATTGACCTATAATCATGTGATCTTAAAATAAATCTCATGTAAATATGTCAAGAAGGTAAATTTTTCAATCATCAATTGAATCACATTGAATTTTTCAGACACATTTACACTAACATACTTTTATCTCTCAAGTCATTACTGCAATTTAATTAAATTGAAAAAACAAATCTTATCATTCAAGCTTATATATTCAATTTCTTTATTAAAAATATGTTATTAATAATTTGATAATTTTAAATTTATTTCATGAAAATCATTGAAAATTTAATATTTATAATAATTTTCCTAAGGACTCAAACTCATCAAAAGTTGAAATTTAACATTGAAAACAAGCTTGAGTGGTCTGATCTTATTGACTGCATGTGACTTTTCAATCAAAATTTATTTTATTATTCTAAATTCAAATATTTCTATCAATTTCAAATTTCAATATATCATTATTTTTTTCTAAATATAAATAAATTTGACAAATTAAGGAAGAATCAAAACCTCAAATCAACGAAATTGTAAAGAATTAAATGTCTAGTGAAGCTCTTTAAACTCTATCTTAACTTACAAATCAATAAAAAATATATAATAATCATGTTAATATCATGAACTGAAATAAAATAATAAAATATGAATTAAACTTTAACAAACCTATAAAATTTATTATTCGTTTTTTTATATCAAAATAAGGACCGATTGATATCCACAAATCACATAGTGGAATGATTTAAAACATAATTTGTTTTTTAAATAGAAATTATTTTTTTGTTTCATAACGTTATTATCAATACCATAAAATTATCAATCATATCAAAAAATGATTGCAACAGAAAACTTAGATCAAAAATAAATTACTGCGCAACATCTTTTGAACTTTATAGCCATACTCTATCCAAGACTGTTTTTAATTGGATATGAAAAAAATACACATTTTAAAAATATGTATTTCTACTTTGTATGTTGATCACACTCATTCAATCAAATATTATTAGTATAGTAACTCTTGTTAGTCTTAGAGATATTTTGACACTTCTAAATTTATCCAATCATTAACATTTGATCTAATTATTGTTGATTGCGTCGTTTTTTTAAATCTAAAAACTTTCTATCAAATATAAAAAATGCCCAAACTAGATTACTTAAAATACATTTGATTTTTTCAATTTTTTCCTACACTTGTAATAACATTGCAATGTGTTAAGATGTGAATTGCAAACTATTATATATCATCATCAATGTATTATTTATTGCCCATAGAGTTTAATCTTCCAATCGTGACACATATTGGTGCAAAAATTTCACCGTCACTATTTTGAAGATGTCACAGACAAGAGCTTGCGCAACATTATTATACAACGTTTGGGCTTCCATTAAAAGTAGGTTGTTTGGCACTCTATCTGGCTTTATTTGCTATTGTATATTATGCACGACAATCAACATAGTCGCTATTGAACAATCTATAGTTGTGTTGTTTGGCGCGTTGTTTGACTTCATTTGCTATTGTATATTATTGATGACGATCAACGTGGTTGCTATTGTTGTGTTCAAATACAGATAACTACACACATGTCTAAATGTAACGCTATTAGTGAATGTAAATCTTTTCATCAAGGAATCATTCAATCTTTGAAAGCGCATTTTTTTCCGTGCTCAATTAAATCATCAAATGTCTTAGTATGAAATATGACAAGTGAATGAAAGTAAACCTGATTCTTAATCTCATATTAATGATCATACACACTTGCACAATGTGCTTGGCTGGTCCAAGTCAACATTGGATAATGTTGAGGAAAATACTATTTGATGATGTTTTGTCAAAGTCAATTGTACTCTTGTTGAATCCAACATGATTTCTAATCAAGATATCAGTTGATTTGCTCCTAATTAAAATCAAATTTTCGATGAATTACTAAGAGTTTTGCAAGAAATTTGACTTGATGATTCTTTCTCAATGTCCATGGGTCTTGATGGCACAAGTATTGAACAAGTTTTGAAATTGAAATTAATATCTAATTGAAATGGATGATTTTGATGTTATGCTTACAACGATCATTGTCAAGTTAATATTGAAACAGCACAATCTCCTGCAAAGTGCCATCAACACAAATAACAATAATGTTGTTGAGATCACGACTCTACTTACCATCCAGGAAGCAAATTGATCAATCACTAATTTGATATTTTTATCTCTTGAATCATCTTTATCAACAAAAGTTCAAAGTAACATGCTCTTCAACCTCTAAGGAGTTTGTGGCATGTTGATCTATCAACAAAAACTTAAGAAAGTTAGATCATTGATGCAATCGATGATACAATATGTAGCAAAATCTGTTTGTACTCCAGTTAAGAAAGAACAAACAATCAAATAATTGGACGATTTCTGCTCATGGCAATTCAGACAAGGAGAAGGACTATTGTTCAGAGAAATAGACTATCAAGAATTGTTGTTGTAGATAGGAAAGGTAACGAGCGGTGACTCAATAGCGATTTACGCAGAAGATCAACAAGACTTTAGCTTCAAATCAAAAGATTGTGATCAATGCAAAACATGCACAGTATACGTCATTTCACTTAAAAATTGTATTATGCAGCGTCTAAACAGATTGTTCAGCCAAGCTGTGAAAGCGATGAGGGACGACGTAGCCGTGAGCTCGATCAAGAGTTCATTCAATCAAGTACTGAAGAAGATTTCTCTCAGTCCGCAAATCCGATGAAGTTGTGTTCTTGTAAAGTGTATCTGAAAGACTGAATTTTCGCAAAAGAAGAGAAAGATTCGCATTTGTCCATCAAACAATGCATTCTCTTTGCTCTTCATGACTCGCAAATACAAAAATGATTGTCTGCAAGAAGCCGAAGTTCAAGCTAATTAGATCAAGCATGAGTTAAAAAATGTGCAAGGAAGGCAAGAAGGTTGACAATGCTACTTGAGACAAAATATTTCAAGCTTTGAAGAAGTTTGGAAGAGATCTCATTGAACAAGCAGGCAAGCTGGATCCTGCCATCGGCAAAGAATTATTTGTGTACTTTCTCTCTGAAACAAAAACAATCATGTGATCATCGGTGAACACGTTGTAGATAAAATTGCCGTGGTAGAGGATCATATTCAATCCATAAAGATTCAATTGTGAAATAGACTTTTAAATAAAGGTATGTCACATATGTAGCTCCAAAATTACACTTGAAATTGTCACTATTTGATAAGATCATGTCACTATTGTCAATAGTGATGCATTGTTATTATTGAGCCGATTTACAAGTTACAAACTCATGGTTATGGAATTTGATGTCACTAATGGGAAGAAGTCACTATGGGATGACACTATTGTGGGGGTTAAACTTCTGTTTTCATAAACTAGAAAAACATAGTTCGAGTATTCAAAATCAATTAAATAGGTAGATGGGATAGTCATGTATAGTGAAATGCCCAAGAATTAGATTTGAAAGTATGAGTAAGCTATAGGAAAACTTTGTAGTATACAAATAGTGAAGGTTAAGTCATGGAGTATCAGAACTTGTTATTGCATGAGTTGATACAGTATTTGAAGATTCTTCTCGTGGTACATGTGAAACCACTAGAAACTCTAGGGTATATATGTGCAGAAAATATTTTTATGTGTCTTGATAAAGAGCTATCTTACCAACGAAAAACTTGGTGCATATAATGAAAAATTCATGAGATTTAAAGTACAAGCAATAGGTAAAAGTTAGATAGGTAAACGGGGAAAGCACTAAAATTGTGGTCCACGATGTGCATACATTGAGATGAGATTGATGTATATGATATTAAGTTGGAGATCGATACAAATTTTATTCATTAAGAGTTGATGGCGCTATCTAATGAGGCAGATAGTATGTTAGAGATTGGACTGATACATCTATATGGTTAAAGATTAAAGTACAAGTTATGATTATGAGCAAAATGTGCATATTTTTCTTCGTTACAAGTGTTTGATTCATTGATATTTAATTGCAAATTTTTTATGATTACTACTTGTGAACCTAAAGTCATCTACATGTAATCATCACATACAGATGTAGAATACCTGTGAAGACAACCGGATATTGCCCATGAGTTGAGATGTGTCTAAGAGAGAGATCCACATCAATATAATCGAATTTTGGAATTATGCATCAGCTAAATGGCCTGAATTGCTTTTATGGTATTTGAGTGCACAAAAGCATATGCAAGTTGGAGATTCTTTTCTGTTCCCTATTAAGATTGTGAGATCCATTGTAATGAGTACTAACCTCACATTGCTTCATTATGTTCCGGTACGTTATTCATCTTGGTCACCGCGGCTGACTTTGGATAAGTGACATTGTTTTGTGTTGTTATAAATCTAATGGATTCAAACTTATGTTACAAGAATCATGAATGTTTTGCTCTCCCACGAACCAAAATGCATTCCGTTGAATCCACAGAAAAGTGGGTTTCCAAGATAGAGCTCCCGGCGAAGCCCAGAGTGTACTGAAAGAACCGTTGAAAACTAGCTAGATTAGGCAACTATGGGGTCACCCAAAAGCAAACCTCCCAAGTCTCCATTTCGTCTTCACCTCGATGGTATCCGTGCTCAGAAGCTCAAGAAACACATGCCTAATTTGAAGAATCTGACCGAAGCATCGGGTTCATCACACTACCATCCAAATCATCGATAACATGCACTGTGTCTTGAGTCTTGTCTCTTGCAAGTGATTAGTGGGTTTCTCGAGAGATTTGCCGGTTTCCTATGTACCACTCGTGTGCCATTCACCGAATCACGATCATGGCAGAATTGTTTGCAGGCTTCATACGCAATTACAATTCGCTGCACTGGACCACTGTTCATGATGGAAGATTCTGAATTTAGGCAACCTACTTCTGGATAAGCTCACTCCTGATAGGCCCATAGAAATGCTTTTTTTATGAATCTGATTTTGAATGCGGAGTAGATGGTCTGTGTCTTGCTCATTAGGTCTTATCGAAATTGACAGAGATTGCCCGGATTCATAACGTAGTACTTATCTCCAAATTGGACCGACGTTCATCGATCACAAATTCACTGGATAGAATTATATTGTGGATTTGCCTACGATGAGCACAGTTATCAAAAGAGACAGAATGTGGAGATGCGTTGTCAAGAAGCCCCAACATTACGAGCTGGTGTTGGAAGCAACCGAGACTTCAACCGAGAAACATCGCAGTGTTCTTCCTGCGTCTTCACCTAATCACAATCGGTGGCTCCTTCAAGAGAAGTGGCAGGCAAAATAGTCATGAGCGATATGTAAAAGCATATTTGTCTGTCGGCTTATAGTGTCGACGGAACTTCGTATATGTAAAAGTAGAATCATATGATCCGCAATGATATAGGCGGAGGTACGACAAACGTCTTCGAAATTGGAGCTTCGTGGATCCAAATTGGATCGCGAAGGTCGCAAGCTTAGCTCCTACGTTGATATGGTGGGAAAGGTCATAGCGCACATGGATTCTGAGCATGAGGAGAGAATGTCTAACCTGCAGGACAACGGGCATACGCTGTAACACTTTGATGGATGACGATTATCAACTCGAACTCTCCACTGATTGTGAGAATGTTTGTGCACGGGGAAGTGGACTTCTGGTGTTGGATGCGATATGTACAGGCATGACCGCTTCACTCTTCCCGATGAGATCTATCCCAACCACAATAAGTACACGCATGTATAAGTATCATAGTACAGGGTCATTCAAGTGTAGTGCTCGCGTAGGGCATGTGCTGAAATCATGAAACGGGTTGTTTTCAATGACATCGTCCACAGGTGCAACTTCCAAATCGCACCGAAAGGTAATCAGACCAGTTCAACGATATCAGTTGTGAATTAGTGCGATGATAGTAGAGGGTATATATTAAGGGATAGACAGATGTATGACCGTCGGCACACCATGCCGTTCGATGTTTTGCAGAAACTCTTTGTTTAAAGATGCACGAAAGCAGATGAAAAGCCCGATTCGGTCATGCATAACAAGTCAGATACTAACGTAGTGCAACGGTCGAAGGGTTTGACTTCCTTGATGTCGAAGGAATCAGGTCCTAGGTGAAATCAAACCAAGGTTAGATCTGTCGTGAGAAGCCCTTATCTTCATCTAGGATCTCGATCCAATCGCTGCTTCCGTGACGTGCATTAAACAGTTGAAAAACCCACGTGTTTAAGTCTTTCATGCCTATCTGCCAACACGTTTTTCAGATGACAGTGGGGAATGTAATAAGAGAATATACAGCATAACTGATGTGTATGCAACTGCTAGGCTTGGTAACTACGCTTATTCGAGATGCCGGTGAAAACATAATTTAGTAACGTGAGAAATGCTATTGATGCTTAGCCGCACAGTCCGTGGGCTTGGTGACTATGCTCATTGGAGATGCAAGTGAAACATATTTTAGTAATTTGATAGATGCTATTGCTTCTCAGTCTGAGAGTCAGTGTGTCTGGTCTCATGCTGAGACTGCGTCCGTATAGCCTAAAGATAGGACGTCGAGTGGTCTGATGTTCGTGGGATCTTGTCGTGCTATGATGAGTCACATGTTCCCTCTCCGAATTTGATGCTCACAAATTCTGATTTGACAAGTCAGAAGAGCAAACTGTCAAGAGAATATTGGGTGTCATCGTTTGCATGTAGCTTCACATGTTTGGCTTGTTAAACTTCTCTGGTATCAGCACGACTGTTCAGAAACTTTCACGTGCTGGAAATACATCTCTCTTCCTGGTGCTAATCAAGAACGCATGTAGACTCAAGTTACTACTGAATCTTCCACCAATTCATATGTGTTTGCATGCAGTGGTTGTGGTTGTTGACTCTTTGTGTATGCACCAAGAGAAGAGTTATCCTCCATTTTGCGAGACGTTGGCAAATTTGTCTTACCATCCGAGAGAATCTGACCAGCGTGCGTAGATTTGCATGTCTTTCAGTATTTGTGTTTCGTCATCATCCAGCACATCATCGATATCCGGTGCTCTCAAGCATCCAAGGAAAGCATCCTTTTCTCGTTACTGCTTTCAAATCTTCACGCAGGTTTGAATAGTGTCTGGAAGGTCTAACTGCTTTCGAAGACGATGAAGGATTATCTTTTGGAAATGAAACTCTCAATATCTTTCCAGGAGTTGATTGTTCAGCTTTGACGTCTGTCTGTTGCAATTATCTTCCAACTTTGCGTAGTTTGTAAGCATGGACCGATCAACGCTCTCTCTGTGAGGGCAGCAATGCGCAATGTTGATGCCCTCACACTCTCCAGCTGAACCTGAAGATTCTTCACAGAGTGAGATATCCGCGTCTCACGGATTATACGAGAGCGTTGCGCTTCCAGATACCGTTCTCTCTAGCGCTCTGTTTGGTACTCTGCAATTGCGTATCTCAATGGACTACGATGCTCTTGTTTTACTATATCAATCGCAATAGATTCTGTTCGAATCTGTTGCGATTGATATAGTAAAACAAGAGCCCTCTGGGGTTTGAAGCATAACTGATAGAAAGTCAGCACAAGGAGACGATCGTATCAGTTTCACAGCGCTCAAGCTTACGAGCGATGACAGCGATCCAGCTGAGGGGTGTTTACCGAGGATAAATTTAACAATAGAGGGGAATGAAATTCTGCTGGGAAATGATTTCGAGGCCACTATAGTCCTCCAATCTGCATATGAAAAACGTGGTGATTGTGGTCCACATGTATTTTGCGCATTTTGTTGGAGCAACCAGAACAGAAGCTTGATGATCTTCTTCCAGCCAGTGGGTAAAAAGCGACCGGCTGGACACAAAATGTGAGCCACTGTTCAGATATTTGGTGATTGGCAGATCCTTCTGGAACTGACAGACATGTCCTTTGTTGACTTCTATGTTGCTTGACATAATCCTGCACCGAGCAGGGGTCTAGGAATGGGATTATCCCCCACCCTGATTCAAGTTTCTTCTGAACTGCTTCGGATCAAGTAAATCATGAAATTGTTATTTCTCACTTGTGCATTAGCCGTTTTGTCGCTAGCCCTGAGGAAATTCCAGCTGTCTGGCCACAAAGGCCTGTGCGTTGTAAAGTGCAATATGTTCCTCGATCAGTCCCATTATCAGCTCCAACTCGAACTGATCCTTCTCTATGCGTAACAGTCCTCAATCCACTTGTGTCCACGACGAGACGCCCCGGAACCTGTTTCGTCGGCAAAGTAGAGGCTTAAGAAGCACCAGCAGGCAGCAGCAACAGCCCTGATAATCTAATCTGCACTCATTCTGCAATTTAATAGCGCACGTGCTAGAAACGGCCCAAGCTCTGTACCTGTCGCAGCATGTCGTTCATGAACCAGCAATACATCTGGACCTGGATGCAAGCAGCAGAACCCGGAGCCCTTCTCGAGGCGAAGTCCTGCCAACAAGTGTCAAATTGCTCGATTCAAAAGCTTTGGTTCCCGTGCAACACTGTGACTGAATGGAAAAGAGCTGATTGCAAGATTGGAGCGAATTAGACAGAAATAGGAAACCGAGGCTAATGGTATACATGAGGTTTCATCCTCAGGAGGTTCGTGCATCTCACCAGTTCAGTGAATCATGTGGAATCGGTCGCACCGACTCTTATTACACCAAAAAGGCATCGGTGGATGCGGCCGATTTGAATTCTGCTCTCGAATTCTCGATCAAATCAGTTATTTCGTGGAAGGCATGCCTGGCTAGAAGTTCGATCCTCTCACTCACTTCAAAAGTGCGAATGGTAAACGTGTGGTGCGACTCTCATCCTTGCGTTGGGAAGTGTTCACGAGCATAAGACACGCTAAGGAGAGACCATGAGTTTATGACATGTCAGAGGTGTATCCACCCATTACATCTCAGATATATCGACTTCATTCAGTGGAGAGCTCAGATCCGGTTGGCTCGCAGGGGAACAAGCAGCCTGAGTTTGATTTAATGAGATTCAAGTCAGAAGAGGCTGGAGAGGCTCCGAACCGTCTCGGGTTGGGATGGACCAAATTTCGGTGTTCCACATTCCCTTTTATTACTCGCTGGACGCAAATTTTAACCTTTTGCACATTCTCGTAACAGAATTGTACGATTGGGCCGAAAATTCTCTTCTGACACTTCACAGTGCGGCTGGCTCCGGTCAGGGGAACACTGTCAGCTGGAAATGATTCACATTCAAACGCCATGGATTGCATTAAAACGGTGACATGCAACTCTCACACGACGAGAGTAGGTTCTCATTGGCACCTGCCCCCAGACACCAGATTTCCAGCTCAGAGCGAGCGTTTCACTTGTGAGCAATTTAGCGACTTATCACAAAGTTTATTATTTACGGAAATGGACCAAGGAACCACGAGGCGCAAGAGGCTGGAACGCCTGTTTCTTAGGGGGAGTCTATCATCGCTGCCTGGCGAGAGGCTTTCTTCAGTATCTCGCCACGCTACTCAGGGCTAGGCCCTTCTTAATTAGAGTTAAGAAAGAAGTACAACGGCCTGCAAACTCGGTATTCTTAACTTCAGCAGCAGCAGCATTCCACGTTGCAGATCACCTGAGCATTTTCTATTCCCGCGCAGCAAATGCAAGTTACAATTAAAGTGCCGACTGCTCCAAAAATTATGAGAAAAACGCCCACCGTAATCTGCCTCCCCGTGAACACGATGTCCCCGTCGATTGCGAATGCTCCAAAGACGATGCAAAGCCAAAAAAGTCCTAGAAATGTAGCCAAAATCAGGACTTTTAAGGCATAATTTTTAATCTGTGCAATCTCCATTGTGGTAACCTTGCTCACCAACCTTCGGACAGATTTCCGTTCAACCAGCTGCAGCTCGATCGTTCAAAGCTTGGAAGCTCAGAGCAGTCAGTACACAGGGCCATAAATCATTAGACTGGACCCTAATCGTCACATTCCACTCCTAGAAGTCCGCCTTCTCCACTTGCAAATTGCATAAAATATACACCCCTCTATTCGACGAATCTGCAGCGCCTCGAACATTAGAGCAAGCCGCTCTGTGAATGATTCATTTTCGGCCACGACACGGATGGAGAATTTTCGCCTCTATCGCTTTGCAAGATAGGCACCGGCCTAGACTGCTACATAAATTGCCTTCACGATCAATCCGAGCAACTGAAAAAACCCCTCCTGTTGTAACCCGAAATGGACATTGGGCAAGTGCTCGATGCCTCGTCCAGCCTTTGTGAGATGTGCCCTGCTGCAAACTGACCTGCCTTGTTCTAACGCTGTCGATTCCATTAAGTAGAAATTCATCTCAAGGTGTGGGAGCCTGAGTTCAAGTTCTATACAATTTCCCTTGGCCTGTCCATGGCTCGAGAGTCAACTAGAAATCAGTGCGGGACGGTCTTTGACTGGTTCAATCAACGTGGAAAGCTGCATCTTGTGCAACATGCACGATAAGAGCCGTTGACAATTGGGTACAAGCTCAGAGTCCGAAGCCCATTCGACAAGGGCTTGATCCTTCTACTGTACGTCTTGAAGTACGGATTGCACATGCCCGATATTATCTCGTAATGCAGAGCCAAGCGATTCTTCCGTAGATCCAGTCTTGACCGAGGGATCATCTCTAGTTTCTACTCTCACGATGCTCCATTCCACTTCTCACTGCATGTTTCTTGTAACACGATCGCGCCATTTGAGGCCGCCTTACGGCACAGGTAGCCGCCGCTTCTACGACGACATGTCAACTTCTGCAGGGAAATTTTCAACGGGTCAACGATCCTTGTGCCTCACGACGCTGACATTCGGAAAGGGAATTTGAGATGGACGTCCAATTACTGCGGTTGTAGAAGGACATTTCATGGAATCTTAAGTTGCATCGATAATGACTTCGTCATCATTATCGATGGTGAGGGCAAGTATTCTCGGTACCGGTATGAATGTGGGCTCAAGTAGCGATCATAACTGACCATGCCATGGAATTTCACGTCCTTGCATGTTCCTGATGATGAAACTTGATAGTCCACTTCAAAGCGAAAGGGATATATAACAAGTGATGGACGTGAGCTGACGCATCGACATATTTTCTTTTGTCGATGCGTTCCTGATATTTACATCTCATAGAAGTCATGGGACATAGAATCAGAGCAAGATCGAGATTTCAGAGATTTTTAACCCCGGGAGAAATGACATTCACATTCTGTTACCACTCTACCATTGTCCGGTGCGAGAAGTACTGGTGAACAGAAGAAGACAAGACGAAAGATTCTCTGGATTTGTCAGAGACGGAATGAAAGTCCACATGGAGAATCTACATTGAAGGACAAGAATTATGCAACTCCGTGTCATTGATTTCAAGGACAGCCACTTGCCGAATAAGATCACTTCGAAATAATGATCATCGTTTTGAACATACCAGCGAACATACTCATCTTTATCATAGACTATGAGTCTACGGTAGAACATACGCCCAGAATCCGCAGCTGCACATGGAACTTTTGGACGGACTTGTGAATTTCTGCACTTTATTCATCGAAACGACAAAATCGTCCGAAACTGATTAGTTTGAAGCGTTACCGTTTCTTGTAAGCTCCTCTAGTACCTCCAGTGGTCTGAAGATCAACGTGTAAGTATATCCATGTGTCTCCACCCAATATATTAAATCATGTTCTTGTTTTGCCAAATAATGGATATAGCTCATTGAAATGTCAAGTACCCTCGAAACTGTGCCCCAAAAAAAAATTCCAATCTAATTTTATCCAATATTAAAGATACCTAATATGTTCTCCTACGGCACATATTATAGCAAAATTTCCCACTTTAGATGTGGTTCAATACCCGCGAAAAGTGTAATTTAATTACTCGAAAACCCCGCGCAGAGTGTAGGTTCAATCGAAAATAATATTTTTAAAATTTTCACAAAAATCAACAATGAATTTCCAGTGACCTTTATAAATTTCAATTTTTGAGTGTACATCAATTCTAGTTGTTGGCCTAATTTCGCGCCCACCTGCCCGGAGAGGGCTCGCAACTATCTCCAACAGACCTTCATTAAGGGCCCGGGACTGTCTGACAGGGTTTGACTTTTTCACGTAATAAGCCTCGTTTGAAAGCTCCAAAATGACCATATGTTTTTCGTGTTTTACTTGCATTTAATCGACTAGTCTAAGTAATACAATCGAATCAAATTCTCAATATGCAATTTTTATTTATCTTTATCAAATTTTCTATTTAATTGGAAACAAGATATGTAATCTTTTCAAAGGAGAATTTCAAGTTTTCAAACTTATACCGATGAAATTATTATTCAATTAAAATCATTTCTCATCATCTTATGTTAAAAAATCTGTGAAAATATTAGTTATACACAATGAATTTCTCTAATTTTAAAATCCAAAGATTAATTTCATCACTAAAAATATATCATTCATATATATATCAATTTTCAGGTCTTATTTTTATTTCATTCAATATGGATAATTTACATAAATTTTCCTTCATATATTTTTTTTGAAAACATATTTCTAATATACCCAAATAATTAGCAATGGAATATATGCTCCCATGTGAATCGATAATTCACTAATAAAGTTTCATAACATTAAAAATGAGACTTCAACAAAACTAATATTTGAATGTAACACATATTTGAAAAAAAATATTTAAATATATGTATATATACATATATATCTCTACATCAACATGTTATTTTCTTATAAATTATTACAAATATATAAGAATCTAGAAATAAAAAATAACGATTGCAAAAGACCGATCGTTATAAGGATTGAATGGTGAAATTATCAAAATTTTAAAAATTATCATTATAAGGAAAAAACTTTTCAATTTTTGATGTGAGAAATTAATTCTTTTACCCTGCACAACATACTCAGAAAATAAATGATAAGATACATGTGCTATCAAATTAACGACACCCGAAATTTGAAAATTAATTTTGAATATCTGAAGCTATACATTTAAAATTCAATTTTTTATGAAAATAAAACATCAAATTTTCATTTTTAATTCAAGAAATTGAGTACTTCAAAGAAAATCAAATTTCAAAGACCTGTGAATAAAATTTAGATAAAAAATCGATTTAATGTTAGATCTGATGATATTAACATATAAGAGTCAATGAAATGATCATATTTTTAAGAATTTAATACATTCACATTTTAACAAAATCTTTTAATTGAGATATATAACTTAATCATGTAAATGATGAAATTTTGAAATTCGATTACAGTACTAGATTGAAATTATTCAATATATATTAGCAGTTAATTCAGGTCTTCTGGTTATTCACATAAATTTGGTGATTATATTTTATTTACGAAGTAAAAGATCCTTTGAATAACAAGATATTTATTATCTTAGATAAATAAATACATCATAAAAATCGAGTATATATATATATATATAATATTTCAACCTATTGAATCTGATAGATCGAATACACGTATATGAAATGATTAATTTACAATGATTACTTCCGTGATAATCTATCATGTGCAAATAGCTTTGCTGATGTTGTTTTTTGTTGTAATATTTTTAGATGAAATTATTGCTGGTATGATAAATGTGCAAATTAATAGCAACTGAATGTAAATTTTTACAATAATCTGCTAAAAGTCTTTATATCTTTCTAGACTGTATATAATTTTCCAATACATATATAAATATTACAATATTCTACATAATGTTGATACATTTTAGATTAAGTTAAATTTTCTTTCTGATTTTTACTAAATATAAATAAAAAATATTATATTTATTTATATATATTTATTTATATATATATTTATATTTAAAATATAAGCAAATAAATCAAATAGAATGATGTTTTGCAAAGATACTTATGAATGATGATTTGATACTCATGTATTGAAATTGGAAAAAAGATAGACTTATTATTTATTTGGCATAATCTAATATTATGTCTTATAAAAATATGTTTATTTTTTACTAATATTTATTATTTCAAAAATGAAATACTGTATATTCAATCTATCATTTGATATCATCATTTAGATTAATATTTTTTTATTAACATGATGTTTGTTAATTTTTTTGATTATTTCTTGATAAAAAATTTATATTTTTTTTAAATAAAAATATTGAAACCTGATAATGTCAAATCAAAAAATAAAATTTGAGACGAGTTAGAAGAGATGGGAAAGAATGAAAGGAACAGACAAAAAAACACGGTGCTATTTTGTTGCAAAATAATAACATACAGCAATTACGATACATTGTCCTTATTTTGCATTCCAAAATGTCAAGAAAAGCACCACCTTGCCTCCTTTTGAACAAATAGTGAGATATGTATCATATGAGGTGAGATCAAACTTACTAAATTTTGAATTGAGATTGTTCACTTATGATATTCTATGTTAGGTCACATAATTGTTAGTTATTTGACATTTTTGATGATAATAATTTGTTATTAGACATAGGTTAAATTGATTTAAATTTTCTGTGAACATTGTAAAAAATTGTGCTATGATATTCTATGCTAGGTTACATAATGCAAAAAATACATAAAAATGCTTTAAAAAACATAATGCAAAAAATAGTTTTTTTTTAAAAATTCAACTGAACATTTATGAGGTTATCCAATATGTTGAAACAAGTTTGTTATCATATAAATGTTGGTTGAAATTATCAATATTACATTGTATTTGGTATATATTTGTGCTTCTAGTGCAATTGATTTCTTGATTCTATTTGAATTGAGATTTCAACAAATAGTTGATTATAATTTTTTAAACGTATTTCTTTATCATAACTTAAAAAATAGATCAAGTTGGATTTTCATCTAAGAAGTGTCATTTGTTTTGTATATACTAGTGATTTGAGGTATCATAGGATATAACATCCAATAGTGTGTGAAATTATTATCATCAAGTGTGTTTTTTTGAGAGTCAAATCTAAAGTCAGGTATTATACTCAGCATCAAATTTTGATAAGTTTAATTCAATATTATACAAATTTGAATATGTACATTGATATAACGGATGAGATGCAAAAATTTTGCGCTGTATTATCTGATCTCGACAGGTCTCTAACCCCACCAGCCCCACTATTGGACTGAAAGAACAAGCTTGAAGGTACAGATTCTGCAAAGAGCACCGTGAAAGGTAACGTGGACGAAATCCACACTCTGTCAATGTGGGTTAATTTGAAGTAATCAATTTTTCCCTATAATTTACAATAGAGATGCATAAGTGAGATTGTGAACTCTAGCGGTTGCTTGTGAGTAATTTACATACTGGTCTATTGATAGCAGAAAGTTCTAGAATTCACCTAGCATTGTAAAGTACAATTTAATATAATAAAATACATATGAAATTTTGAATTCGTGTATTCAACCATATTATACTTTGTGTATAATACTCTAATTAAATACATTTCCATTACTAGCCAAATCATTGAAGGAGTAGCATATTTCCTAATCTTTTTGCACTTACAAGTACATAAATCTTCAATCCTATAAATTGTTGGAGGAAAGATTGATAATTATAAATTTAATGATGTGATATAAGACAAAATTCCAATAGAGATGAAGTAAATTTTGAAAAATTATTAATAAAGATTTATTATTTTTCATGAACCTCAATTAACTACATAAGACATTGGAATTCAATTAGAAACTTTCATTATGAAATCATCAAATCATATTATCAAAGTTTAAATGAGGTTTAAAATATAGGTTTATTCTTCCATTCTAAAAAATCATGATATTAATATTGATGATGATGACAATGTGTTATTATTTGAAAAAACATACCTTCTATTTTAAAAAAGATCAAACCTCTATCAATAAACTTGAATATAATATTGATTTAGAATGTGAGATGCAATTATTGCTGGATAACGTGGGAGCTAATGGAGCTTCAAAGGATTCAAACTTTAGTTGATAGCAAGTGAATCTACAAGGTTAAAGACAATCCAATAAATGACAAAAAAAAATCTTCAAAGGTAGATTGAGGACTAGAAGTTTCACATGAGAAAAAGATATAAACTACAAAGATGTTTTCTAACATGTAGCAAAATATGTTATAGTTTGACTGCAATATGCACTTGCTATAAAAGTTAATCTAGTTATGGATCAAATGATTTTGGGTACTGATCTCCCATCTTGCTGATTTGCTAACCTTCCTCCCGTCCCCGACACCATCTACGTTTCTCGGCACCTTCTCGGAATCACATGTTATAATCGAACTGCTTGGTGGTGACGCTATAAAGATGAGCGGCAACATGCTGTGCGCACTCAGCCTTTGAGGAGACGAAAGTGATGAGAATTAAAGGGAGAAAAATGGAAAAAGCAAATCAGCAAGGTGGGAGTATAAGCCCCAATGATTTAAACCACTACACAACAAACAATGATAATAGTTATGAACAATTCAAATCATGTCAATGATTGATGTTTAGCGATATATATCACTAATGTTAGATAATGTAAGCATTATTTTAACTAATGATTAATTAGCAAAGACCAAAATTTTTGTTGTATTACTAATGAGATTTTTTGAATATCATATATCATGTCAATTTTGATTGAATGTACATAAATAAAAATTCTAGGTTCAAACATTCTAATTAAAATGATATGTATCATTGTATTCAACTTATCAAGCTAAACATCATTTGAATATGAGAAAATATTTTTATGAATTTATAATAAACCAATTATTTTTGTACAAAGTTGTATTTTTATATTTATGTCTTCAAACAAAATATAGTTTTTTTATTTTATGAAAATTTGTCTCACATAAATCATAGTACAAGAATAAGTTTACATTTAATTACAAGAGAGAAATATTTTTAGCAAATTGTATCATTTTTTGTTCTAAAATATTTTCAATTTTACGCTGATTCAATATATCAATAGATTTTTACTTTTTTCCTTTTGAAAACAATGATATCCTCATGAATTTATACATATTGATATTTTTAATATCTTGGTCTATCATTTATATAGATGATAGGATTATCATCTATATAACAAATTTATAAAATTGAATAACAAATTTATGAAATTATATGCTGAACGCTTTGAATATAATACTAGATTTGTAATCAAAGATGTGATTTTATGGATGAGATATTTTTTTTATTTTTTTTCCACAAAAATGAAGGGACAAAAAAATTAGACTTACTATCAAGAAAATTTGATATTTTTGCATAAATTTTAATTTTAACAAAAGTAATGTTTTCCTGTAATTTGATTTTGTTTCAAAATATTTTGAATATAAAACGTAGATAAAATTTTGATTTTATATGTAAATATCCAATATGTAATTTTTCGAACTTTTAGAAAGTGATCAGATTTTATTGTAAATTTGAACCTCAAAAATGTTTGTTGAATAATATATTTGTTTGAAGATAAATTTTTCCCAAGATTTGATAGGTTTAGTTTTACATTTCATTGATAATATTTGCATAATATGCAGTTGAATTATTTTCAAAATTTATCAGATCCAATTCATCAATTTTTGTTATACTCAATTTGCACTTCATAAGCAATGTCTTGGGATTAGCTTGTTTGATTTTTTTTTCAATGATTTTTTAATCTATAATCAATATTATTTGTGTTGAATAAGTAATTAGATAACATACTTGTAAATTTGAAATATTCAAACCAAGTTGTGATAAATTGTTTAGATTTCATCGATTTTTTTAGCAGCTTCGACTTATGAAATTTTATTAAAATTTTTACTTTGTTTTTGCCATGTGAATTATTAATAATGAATACTAATTTTACTACTGATTAGGTGAATTCAAAGATCTTGTTAAATTTTAAAAGTTCCAGTTTAATTTAAAACTTCGGATTTCATTAAAAAATGTATTTTTAAAATTACGCAAATTTCATATGCATAAAGTTTAACCACATATATCAATATTTTTGTATATGATGTATGAAAATCCACTTAACAATTGATCTTAGAAGTCAAAGATTATAACCTTCGAGACTCATTTACATGTAATGTGGATTGAGAAGTAAATTGATTTTATATTTTGTTTATATTTTTTTCTTATGATAAATACTTATTATAGATTTATATACAATTCTTTATCTTTATTTATAAGTTTAATTATTTTGAAATTGTTAACATTGAAATTTTGAACAAAAATCTTTGCAATGATATATAGATAGAACAAACATGAATATGCTATAAATGATTTCATGAAAAAAAGTATAGAAATATAAGATTTGAAGATGTTTTGAATTTTGCTTTAAATCTAAAGATCTGTAATATGTGATTTTCAATTCCAATGTTTTGATGATGGTTCTATTTGAGTAAATTTGTGAATAAATTAAACTATTCAAATTTTAAAAATTTATAATTTTAAATAATTGAATGAATATTGAAAAATATATCCTGAAATATAATATCATATCTTGAACCAAAAAAAGCAATGTAATTTTTTAATTCTTATTAGTTTTAAATAAGATAGCTTTAAAAATTCTAGAATTTTTTAAAGCTATCTTGTTTATTTGCTAGACCAGTTATTTTTATTATCCATGAAATTTAATATATATTTTATGGATAATTGTTGTGAATTCAATATTTAGTATCCTGTAAATTTTTTGAATTCTTAAGAACCATTAAAATTTTTTATGCTGCTTAATACAACCAAGTTGAGGAAGATGCAATGACTGTGTTAGTTGAATTCTATTCCACACAAAAAATTCTTCATAAATAACTAAAATTTATTTCTAAATATACATCATATTTTTTTGAAATTTGTCTTGAAGAGAGAATTAATGTCCTCATCTTTCTTTCATTTTGAGGTTGATTGTCTCAACCTGGACTGGCCTACATCCAATCTATTTATGGTGATCGAGAAAAGTTGGATAAACGTGTCAGAATGCAAATTCTGGCATTCATAGTTTTTTTAATATGTATCTACACATAGAGGGGAGAGTGCTGTGTGATAACCAAAATTAAATCTGTTTATCTCTTTATGTTGCTTACATGTATGCATGAAGAATTTCGCGTACTTAACATTCTTGTATTAGCTAATGTTCAATAAATTTCAAGAATCAAGGTTGAAGCATACTCAAAGGAGTATCAACAAATGAAGATCGGAACCCCAACGTCGGCAATGCTCATAAAAACATAATACAGCCTCAGTCGTTCGTTTACGAAACATGCAACAAGCAAGGGGCCAAATGGGTATGAAAAACGTCAGAAGGCATACCCGATCGAACCCTACAAGAATAGAAGCAAACAGTAAACCAAGGCTAGACATGTAATCGCAGCTCGTCGATTACCTTTTGTCTTATGTCAGCCTCAGAGGCAGCGGACGCTTCAGGAGAACCGGGCCTTCACAAATGGACGGCGTGGATGAAGCTGGACAAACTCGCGCAATGGGTAGTCAGGACTCAACCCTAGGTCAATTCATCGCACGTACGAGGCCGGGGAGCTTCTCATGCCCCGTGGCCAGCAACTCGTGGATGCAACGGAACATGATCTGGGTCTCATCAGAGACAAGACGTCGCGTCATGCGTCGCTTCTTGGAATGATGGATCCTCTTTTCGAAGAGCGCACATTTGTTCCTGCGACCGAAGCGTTGGAACATTCGATCGGAGCGTCGTGTACGTAATTATCTTGACATTTGCAGCCGAGCTCGGCTCTGGCAGATGATGGCGTGAGGGAGGGTTGAATTTTTCGGAACGGTGCTATGGATTCATGGAGATTGACTCTGAGCCGGAGGTGACAGTGGAGTGGATTTCTTTGAGATCACATCCCTCCGGAGTACTCTGTCTGCTGATCACAGTGGGAATGGTAAACTCCTACAGGCTCTGACTGGGGAAAGTCGGTCGACTTTGTTCGCGTTCGAAAAAATTGATAAGATTTGGAGTAGTACGAGGCCTTGTGCTCGAGGATCACCGAGGATCAGTTCCCGGTGACTGTGAGTGAGCTGGGGTTTCTCTGTAACCACAACCGCTTTTTGTCTCGATCTTTGCAGATCGACATTGCTCTTTCCTTTGTCTACCGTGACTTCACTCATTCACCCGCAGGAATTATCTCAAGGTAACTGCAATGTTGTTCGGAGATTCCAGACCTTGGCTCGCGTTGCGGCCGCAGGCCACGAAACACCTCTCTCCTGCACGTTTGGCTTACGATGATACAAGCTTTCGTGCATGGTGGGGCAGAGCAGTTCCTATCGTGCATGTTCATTACAAAATCATGTGCATGTCCGCTCATGTTTTCGTTGACAGGGTAGCACGAAGTCGGGTAAGGAACTCTAGGGTAGCAAGAGCTGGTTGCCACAAGGCACCTCATAGCTTGAAATATGCTTGACCTTGCGGACGGGGATAAGAGACACGATGACGAGTCTCGACCCCGTGACAGACTACACAATGCTCGGCAGAAAACTACAGCACTTAACAACCGGGGTTTGATTCTGGTCGCGGCCTGTGGTCAAGCTCCGAAGAAGACGATCCTAATCTAGAGGAAAGTAAGACTAGGAGAATCCTCTAGAGCAAGTGGCGATCGTCACAGCGTTCATCCGAGCCAAGTGACAGAGATAGTCCATAGAGAGGTAGTGGCGTCTCCACTTCGGTGACGCCAGAACCAACTGACCGATTCGTAGTGTAGTCACCGCCGCGCTGAGTCAGCTGGCTCGCTGCACATGATGAGGGGGCCACAGGCAGTTTGGAAGAACTCGGCAACCATACCGAAAGTGGATCCTTACGCCTGCGGATGTTTCTGTTCTGGTGATGATTACGGGACCCCTTGCTTTTTACAGGTCTTCCTAGTAAACATTCCGTCTACACGAGTAGCTGTCAGCGATGTGCTAGTCGGCCTCTCGACGTTATTCAGAGTATGTGCAAGCTGTCTCGTGACATATACTTTCTTGCTGACGATAAGTCGAGGAATCTTTGATCACAGGGAGTCAGTCAAGCACCACATCACAGGTGTGTGCTTCGTCCCTTTAGTTCTTAGGCAACCCTCAGGTCACGTCTTGCCCATGAGCGGATAAAAGTTCGAAGAGTATGAGCTTTCCTTCTGTCACCAGAGACGTCTACGGATAGAAAAGAATATCTACAAGCGAAAGACAAGCGGTACCTAGAAAAAGCAGCCCTAGAATTCTCAGAAACTTTGCATTCATCCGCTATGTGGGGACATTTGCGCAGATGTCCACTACGCAAGTAACTTCCGTGATCCCTGCAGAGTTAGATGCAGCAGAGAACATTGTGGCCACAACGGCTCACAGCTGGCAGGGACGACATTTTCCAACTTTCACAAGATTGGGCGAGAAGAGCGCACCCAATTTAATGCACTCGACGCAATCAATGTCAGGTCACAAATTTGACGTGATACTCAAGGTCCCAAAAGGGCCTAGAATAACCGCAGTCAGTCTCATCATCAGAAGAAATAGGAAACTTGATACACACTTGACGTACATCATGCAAGGTTCCGGCTCCGCACCACTCCCAAAAATGGGTATTCAGTGCATGTTCATCTCTCCAATTCTTGAGTCAAAGCTTCAACTTCATCTCGAGCTACCTTTCAAATCCCATATTCGTCGAACGAACTTATGGCCTCTGACTCGGCCTCCACTCACCTCAAAGAACACTGCACGGCCAATTTCGTGATGAAGTCTGACGAAAGCCAATCACGGGGGTTCACCCGGGAACGTGCAACCGCATAGCACCATGTTTCCAGGAGACCAAGAGGCAGTTTCGAATCTCCGGAGGTTTCCAGAAAGGGACAGGGCAAGAACCTATGCACGTCGACTCTGCCTGCTATAACTATTTTGCATGAGGTGACTTTTGAACGAGAGACTAAAGAAAGTCCCTATGCAAAATCTGGAGACTCCCCATGCAAATCAACAACATTTCCTGGACACCACATCGAAAGCTGATGTCCGTTGGAAAAAGTCATGGATTCAAGAGCGATTTCCTAGCTCAAAATCGATTTGGAAAACGCATCAGACGCCTGATGTGTTAAAAATGAGATGAGAAATGAGAGAACACTCCGTTCCTGTACTTGAAATGTACATGAGGAAAATTCAAATAGAGCTTTGAAGTTTACAAAAGTGCCCGTCCGCGACCAACATTGAGTACTACCAACCATTTCTATTAACAGGGGATGAGCGGATCCGATTGCTGGACTCCCGTTCCCACACAGTAATGCTCTCCTCGACTACGGAGAAAAATGCAATGATTCTCTGTCCTTTGACCATCCGCAGAGCTGAGTATCGATAATTCACATCATGCCTCTACAACATCTGGTAGCTCTCCAAGCACCAAGAGGTTATACGGGGTGCTTATCATCAAACTTGCACCTCTAATCTGTACTGCCCCTACTATATACAACCTAGTAAAAATTGCTGGCTAGAACCGCCCGCAGCAACAAACATCGAGGAGGTTAAGACAAGTTGGGAAGATCATCGAAAGTCCAGAGAGGAATGGCGTAGTCAAAACACAGAGGCTCCAAGCTGCTCCACTGCCAGAGGTCCCTCGCTCGAACTTTGTCTTCAATTTGGAATTCCTCCATGTGACTCGTGTCGTACTGGGCATGCTGATGTTCCACCTCCCCTCCCACCTCCGTGACAGTGGATCCGTCGCCCACGGAGCAGCTGTCCAGACAGTCCGCGACCGACCCGCTGTCCAAACTTGCGAGATCCACTTCGCCTGCTACTTCCCTACTCGCGGGCGGGGACACCCTGGAGTCATTGCTCTCTGTGGACGACGACAGGGGCCCCTGGACGACGCTGACAGGAGATTGCGGCTTCTTCTTGACCACCTTCTGCACCTGCTTGGTCAAGGGCTTGGTCGGCGAGTTCTCGTCCGGGTAGTTCAGCTTCGCCTTCTTTCCACGTATCCTCCGCGCAGCGCAGTCGTACGCTCGCGCAGCCTTCTCAGGAGTGGGAAATGTTCCGAGCCAAACTCGAACTCCTTTCTCGGGATCGCGAATCTCAGCGGCCCACTTACCCCAAGGCCGACGCCGGACTCCGCGGAAATGCCTCGGGGTCGTTTCGGCTGCTGGTGCCGCTCCTCCTGCTGCTGCTGCTGTTGATGGAGCCGCCGCAGCTTCGACCTTGGTCGCCTTGTTGCTGGCGCAGCTATTGCTGCTGAGGCAGCTGCTGCCAGACGACAGAGAGGGGCCTTTTCCCGCAGCGTCTTTGATGGCAGCAGCGGCGACAGAAGCAGAACCGGAGGCAGGAGAGACTCCGAAATCCCTCAGCGACGAGGATTTCGGGTCCAATTTCTCGACTCCGGGATCAAGAACTTCACCCCCGCCAGCTCCGTCGGCTCCAGCGTCCCGCATTGTGCTTCCGCAAGACGACGAGGTCGCGCAGCAGCAAGAAACACTCGCACCATCATCCTCTTCCTCCTCGCGCGCCCGCCCGGCGCCTCCTCCTCCTCCTCCTTCTTCGCCTCCCGCGCCTCCTCCCCGCATCGCCAAGAAGCGCTCGTCGGGCGAGCCAGGCGTTCTCGCTCGCCTCGCACTTCCAAGATCGTCGCCTCCCGCGGCAGCGCCACCAGCAGCAGCAGCAGCAGCTCCGGCACCATCATCACCTCCATCATCGAAGCAACTCCGACTGCGTTTGCGATGCCACCACTCGTCTCCGCCACCGACCGGCCCATCATCAGCCACCACCATCGTCATCTCTGGACACCAGCTTCCGCAAGTTCCATATCAGTTCATAACGCCCCTCTGCTTCGGGCCCGTCGCCCTCGCGCTGCTTCACTTCACTTCACTGCACTTTGCGCCACCTTGCTCGGGGCTCCTAGCTCTCGTTGGGTTGGGGCTGCCTGCCTGCCTGCCTGCCTGCCTGCTCGCGATGCGCTCGGCTCTGCTCTCGCAGTGTCGGGGCCGGGGCTCGCTCTTTTGTGCGGGGACTATAGGCCGTCGGCGTCGCGACTCGCAGGGGACGAAGCGCTCGCTGCACAGCACAGTGTCGAGCCTTTTCTCAAGGCCCGAACCCTCCGCTGCCGATGTGGCAGATGCTGAGAATGCCAAGGCGTGTGGCAGACACGGGCCAGCTCAGAAGGCGCCGTCTCGCGCTATCTGCGATAAGGCATGGCCTCCGCCAATTTTAGCAGGCATGGCCTTGCCCTCGCCCTCTCCCCGTCCATTTTTAGCGGCTGCGGGCGGACGCCGGGCCCCGTTTGTATCGGAGAATGTTCTTGCCCTCCGTTCCCCTTCTTTCCACAAGACATCGCCCGCTTTGGGGGCCCCTCTATCTGTTACCGCCCCCTCGCGAACATCTATCTGTACCACGTTATCCAATTGCTTGTCTCCCCCGCTCGGATTCTTCGGGAACTGGTGGTACACACTTTACATGGTCAATGCAAAAGATACAATAACGGAAATCTTTCGCTTCGCGTCGGGTCTTTCCAACCGATGTGGGAGCCCACAGATTCAAGTTTTCAAGGCGGGAGGGAGAAAAAAATCTTCGAGACCTCCAAAGTACTGACTTAGTTTCTTGCCCGTCACGAGAAGTTGATAAATTCCTTCTCGACTCGATCCTGTTCCGACTTTCGTAAAATGCTGGTGAATGATTGCATTATTTTGCATGCAAGGACTTTATTCTCCGATTTCTGCAGGATTAGATTTCCTCTTTAAAACTAAGGCTTGAGCCCCAAGTCTGAAAGATCGCTCCAGGTCCCACCCTGGCGACGAATCAGAGTGTCTGGCCCCCGGTCCCCAACCGCGACCGAGCTCGGTGGACGTCGTCCCCTCGCCGGGAGGAGTATTGAAGGTGGTTACGACCAGAACAAGTGCTTAATTAGGCCAGTGAGGAGTAATGGTGAAGACAATGCGAGGCTGCGATCATGTTCGCCGAGACATTTATAGAAACCCTTGGTCGCTGGTGCATATGCGACTCGCAAGCGATCGAGAATGTTCATGACATGAACTTGAGGGGGGTTCCAAATTTGAAGAAAAGGGCCATTCGGATTTTAGTGCACAATTGATGGCATGGAGCAACATCCAGGTTGGCTTTACCTTTTCCAGAGGCATCATGACACTGATTTGCTAAACTTATCTACAGAGGACAGATTTACCACCCGATATACAGGAGATCTGAGCCAAGTACAACAAGTACACCTTCGATCCGATCATCAAGTCAACTACAGCCCTCTTCTCTTCTCTTCACTGCACTTCACCTCAGGCTTCATCCCGAAGGAAGCTTCGCCCACAACATCCCTCCGTCAACCTCCATTTGTCGCAGGCCATTGCTCGGCACTCTCGGCCCTTCCTTGCCGTTCTTTCTCGTATGACAGATCCTCCGTTCCAGGGGAGGCTGCGGTGAGGAATTAAAGTAGGAACCATCTGACGGACTTCCATGCTGAACCGCACTGTGCCCTCGCAAGAGACGAGTTTGAAGTTCTGTTTCGTCGAGGTCAGGTCATGTCTGACAAGTCGGTATCTGAGATTATGCTCTGCTTTAGCAAGAGTGAGGGCCAGGAGACGAGGTAGCCCGGCTCCAGTGCCGTGCTCACGGATTTGTACTCTTCGACGCAGAAAAGAACATGGACGGCTGATGATTACCTCTCTCTCTTGTCATCAGAATTGTCCGAGCAAGTCGCCGGAACGAGCTCGAGAGTCAAACATTCCAGAAAGAAAAGAGCGAGCCAGGTCCGTGAGAGATCAGGCCCTGCGGACCGAGGAGTCACGTTCGTAGACGGAAAAACAGAAAAGTCAAGTCCGAGCGGAAGGGATTTCCATTGTGGACGAAAGGTGGCAACGCAGAAACGGCAGCTCGACAATGTGCGTGAAAACCTTCGAGATGTGATGATACCAAATTGGTTATGGAAGATGGATTCATTGAGACTTGAGGAACGATGGCCATGGGACCACAAGCATAACTGATTTGACACCCATCCACCAATAAAGCGAAGGCAAGGACTGTACTGGATGACTCTCACTTGCCCGCTGATGATGATTGGGAAGCAAATTGAAGGAAGTGGGAAACAGCCATGGAACGGAATCGAAACTTTGGCATATCTCGCATACGGATCAATACAAAAATGCTGAATCTCGAAACTAAGCTTCGAATATTTGCCCATGCTTCAGAGCCACGCTACCTCGAGGTCAGAAGCCATCACGACCATTCAGCGCGCAAGCTGCGGCTGCATTTCAGTGGCCAACCGGATGAATTCCGTCCACAGGAAACATCCGAATGCCCACGAAGTCTTCAGGATGACCTCCGTCGCTCTGAGTGGACACGCACACGGAAATGCGATTACGGGTGCTACTTAGCCCCAAAAGGATGCTGTTCGGATCTCAGAGCGTACGGAATCTTCAACGCATTCGGACAAGGGGCACAGAAGCCGGTTGCGCCGAAGGCATATTCGCGCTTCGTCCGTCGGGGGCTCAGATTCTCCGGCTGGCCGAAGGGCCGTCGTGCGACGAGGCCTGACGGAGGAATCCCCGAAAGGAGCCAAAGTGCGCCGCAGAATGGGAACTGATATTTGATTCTCCGTATGTTTGAGCCCGTATAGCCATGAGGCGTGCGACTCCATCCCTCCCCTTCTGAGGAGAGCAGCGCGAGAACTCCCCGGGTTCTCTTGGGATCCAAACTTGACGTCTTGGATTATATTTGCTCTTACCCGATCCGGTCTATCCTTGTCTTCGTCTCCTCCTTCCTTCCTTGCTTGAAATGATCTTTCAACTTCCAGCTGAATCCAATGATTCCACTCTATGGCGGATAAATCCGCAATTCAACACATGCATCAGATCGTCAATTTGCTCATGAACAGGCATCACTCATCCGGCTGGATGGCTGGCGTGATGCAAAAATGGAGTTCAAGATAAGACTGGTCTAGCTCATCACAATCCAGATTCATAATGAAGAATAAGTAACTGACGTCTTGGCGGCAGTTTCTGTTGATTATTTGATTCACAAGGCAGGTACTCTGTACTGGAACTGTGACTGGGTCAGTAACTGTCAAAAGAAGTTCAAATATCACTGGAGAAGAGATGCACACGCCATGAATCGAGCCCCTTTATCAAGGTTTTTGAAAAGGAAACTCATCCCTTTTTTATTCGCTCCCTAGTCATGATGCCTTGACCCACACGAGAAAAGTCGTTTGGGTCGTCGTTGTGACAAGCAATTGAAAACTCCAGAGGAAGAGATACGCATGCCGTCATTTCAGGACTTGTTATGCTGTACATATGACCTTCGGAAGGCGTTCGGAACCCCATTCGTTTGCCATTGTTTTCCCAGTCGTCTTACATTGACTCGCTCAAGAAAGTCTTTCAACTCATGGCTGTAATTTGTAAGCAATTTCTAATATTCAAACAATCGAAGGTCGTGCCAACTATTTAGGTAGAATGTGACCTTCATCATACGTTCATGCAGAATTATTTAGTTTAAATATCCACCATTGTGAAATCGGTGTCACCGGTTTCCAGCTTTAGGGGGTGATATCAGCCATGTCCAAATTCCAGCTTAGCCGGAGTCCCCTGCCTCTGGACAAGAAGAAAAGGCAAAAACGAATAATCATTTCACTATCTGGAGTGAAATATCTCATTCTTGTCCATTTAGACGCAGAGTGTACGACAACGGTCCAAGGTACTCCGCCACGCATGCTTCACCTTGGAAAACTTGGCAAGCTAGACTAGACGACTAAAACTAGAAGATCGGAAGATGGAGCTCCGTAAAAGGAGGAAACCTGCTGTTTAAGCGAGTTTATTATAGGTCTACTTTGGCGTCTCCAAAGCTTAGACGTATTTAGATCTTTAGTTGAGCAGCAAGAGCAATTTCCAAAGATCCATGGAGATGAAAGTTTCGGTGCGGAAGGGCTCCTGCGAACATTTTCGAGAGCACATGGTCAAGATCGACCGAACTAAAAGTTTCAAAGCTCTATCCGACACAATTGGTTCAGAAGCAGCTAGAAGGGACACAGTATCGGGGAGACTCTGGAGTGGGGACTAGTGTTTCAAGGTGATGTTCTGAGCTGCTGGATAACTCAAAGGAGTCAAGAACAGCTCGAAATGAGGTGGTCTTGACAGGTCATAGAACAAGACGAACTAACAGTAGCTCGATTTCAGCAGCATCTGTAGACGCATCTAATTCGCCACGCTCAGAGATGAGAGATAACATCCTCCTCGGCGAAGTGAGTAGCAACAAGTAGAGTACACCTCGAATTACCCAAACCCTGTTCCATTGGCCAACACTTTACCAGTTTTAGAACCACACCGTTACATGTAAGAATCGTCACTCATTCAGTAGCTACTGAACTACTGATGAAATCAAACGGGAACATGTGAATCTGGCAAACCATGACCGATGATTGACCATATGTGGCATAATATCTCACTTTGCAGCAGCAATATTGGAGATGCATGTCTGACACTTGTACACAACCCATATGCTCATAGAACCGATGACATGCAATTTCAGGCCTGTAAAAGGATCCAAACTTGGTGCTTCATATTAGGATCAGGCCTTACACCTATTTCCAGTTGAGCGGTTAGGCTTCATGCAACTAAACGAAGAGATTCCCGGTCCCCTTCAACTCAAAAGATGTGGCATTTGACCAAAGTGACTCTGATCAAGTGGACATGAGTTGTAAAGTCCTTCCCTCGGGAGAATCTCCAAGCTCCCCACCTTCACGGCTCCTCACATGCTACAACTTTCATTAGCTTCCAGATGCAAATATGATCATGCCAACACAGGCTCACTGGGAAAATCCAAATTTGTATAGATCATGCCCCCCCTGACTAGTATCTCTGCCAATCCCTTGACTACAGACAGTACCATCTGGGTCACTGAGTCCAGTGTTAAGGGAGGAATCGCTTCAGAACATTTTAGTTCGTGAAGCACTACATTTTGTTTCCCTTTGCTGCATTGATGACAAGTTTTGAGCTCGTCTTCATGGTTAGGGCAATGTTGGAATCATGGACGCTGAGATCATGTGTCAAATTTATGTCTGAAAATTCACATTCCCTTCAGTACTTACCTCAGAAACTACCGAGTCCATCACCATAGACTTGAACTAGATTCCAAAGACTCGAATAAAACACACGAGTGTTTGGGCCGACTTTGGCGATGACTTTGGCATTGGTTTGACAAGACATCCATTTTCGTATGTACATAATCCATGGAATATTATAGTAATGAAAGCTTTTCACATGCGGGAAGATCTCTTGACCTAAATCCTTACGATAAGGAAAATCGCATATCTGCACTTAATGCAGATAAGTGATTTTCCTTATCGTAAGGATTTAGGGAAGATTCGTCGCATGTCAGGAGACATGCCAGATGAGCAAGCCTCCTTCTCCTTTGGATGTGCGAACCGTGATTTATGTTGTGCCAAGTCCTGAGTTACTTTTCTACCGGAACGTCAACGCGAAGAAGGGCCAAAAGACATGACTCAACGTCAACATTTATGACTTGTCACCAGCATGAGAATATGTTCAAACTGTACTAGTTACGGCTCTCGCGCATGTCAAATCATCAACAACATTCGTCTTTCTATTTATGGTGTTTGAGCTCATGCAAGAAGAGCCCGAAAGGTCACTCCGCATCTACAGGTTATGAGTTCAATCGCAGAGGCAGAAGGTGCATACATGTCCAAACTTCAGAGAATGGTCAAATTACCTTTCCATGATTCCCTGCTGTACATGGCAAGTTTTGAGCAGGGTTTAAGTTATGCGATTGGATCAATGGCCCATGCAAGATTGCCTCTGATACTTCAGAGTGTAACGTACGCGAACTCATGCCACTTGTGAACAAATTAATCGAATCCAAATAAGAAGATACATGAGGGTGATGCGACTAATCTGCTTGGGTCTTCGACCCCCCTATTTAATAATGGGGTGCGCGGCTCGATGCCTACCTAAGACAGCAGTTGTTGTCTTGCCCTATGATCCGCATGCAAACGAGCAGATCACAGGCGAAAACACTCACAAAATAATAATAATGTCTGAACTGCAATATTTTTTCTACTTCTTTATCTTCTGAAGCTACTGACATTTCATGGTCGGGAATTTCTTAGCAAAACCATCAGCTCATATCCTAAATTGCAGGGAAATCCTTTAGACCTTTTGCTTCCACTCTTATTTATGGTATTTAGGGTCTTGTAGAAAGACTTTGTGAGTGTCTGTAAAGCACTCATGATTTGAAGCCGGAATTGTGGGAAATAGTATGTTGAGGGCTGCTTAGAAGAGGTTGTAAGATTTGCTACATATGAAATTTGTATCTGCACTTGTATACTTGATGGTTCAATGAGGTACATGTAATTTATTGAAAGAAGGCCTTAGATAAGCTAATTTTAGAGAAGTTGAGATGATGTGGGCATGTGTGTCAAGATTATGCAGACACCACTTGATTGCTTTTCAGTCACCTGGCTAGCATTTCATTGGATCAGTACTGTAATTTCCCCTTAAATGGTGCAAGGTCCCGCATAAGAGATGTCGAAACTGACGTGCCGATAAGCAAGAGGAAAGAGAGTAAAGAACAAGTTTCAGAGCGGTCTTGGTACATTTTGTTGGACAGTGATAAAAGTAAAGTGATGGCCACTTGCACCCAAATGAAAAAACTATCTTCTAATAATTGTTCTGAAAAAAGAGCATGCTTATTGTTGTTATGATAAGTGCCATTCTTACTTCTGCCACAGTGTGGGTATCAATCCCCATACTATTGCCAAAATGATAATGACAATAAATACGATATCAAATCTAGAGATGAATATGATTGTAGAAAGGGGTTGGACATATACTTGTTTCTCCCTAACAGAGAGAGAAGGGTGATTCAGGGTGCATAGCATCTGAGTGCAGTTCTACATGGTTATGATTTGTATGCAGTCCAGAGTTTTTCACGGCATGGGATCCTCTGCTTCAGGGCAGTTGTTCCTCCTTCAAGGAAGAGTGCTAGGTCGAGCGTAGGGCAAAAGAAGCCTAGCAGTTGCTCATGAGAGTCAGCCTGACTACATGCAAAGAATGTCCTCAGATTAGACTATGTCCTGCCATGCATGCAAGTTTTCAAATGAAAAGGCGTTGATAAAAAGCGAGCTGCAAAGGAAGAAATATCCCAAGAAGAATCCGAGAAATCTCAACTTTGTATTCAGCTGATTTTGACGTTATTCAAAATATCAGGAGGTTGTATACCGCTACAATGCAGCAGAGTTTCCACCCATTCGGTCTCATCCTTCCACGGTTTCCAACATACCGAGAGTTCATCAAGAAGATCAGGGAGATAATCTAAAATAAATGGGAAACTATACCAAGAGTGCAAGCTCCAATTTCACATGCATTCTTGATCGTCTTTTCTAACCTCATCCCCTGCTTTTCTCTCCGTCAGATGTACAACCTTTGAATTCAGTCCACGACAGTGACCAACTAGATGAAGGCAGGACCTTCCATGCGAAGGTTTGTCGAACTTTGCCGGCTATGGATGGAAATCGTAGATATCTCTGAGATATTCTCGGCACAGATATTGAACACTTTGACAACGGGATATGGACAAGCTTCAGGCTAGCACTTTGTGACGCGGATTTCGATTTGTTTAATCTGCCAATGGATCCAAGCCAAACAAGCATTTAGAACCCTATGCTGGTCAGTGACATCAAATTTTAAAAGACTCATTTAATCACTTCCTTCGCTTTTTCTCTCGATGCATCAATCGATGCACTTGAATGTAGATGGAAGCAATGAACAACATATCGTGGGACATAATAATCCGTATCAGTTGTACGGCCAAATGATTGTCTACGGAGTCTCAAGCTGATAATACTGTCCAAAAGTATCAATTCTGTCGTAGTAAACACTCACATCGCCATCCAGGAAGCAAAGGGGAGAAATTTGTCAACACCAGTCTACAGCTGGAACAACATGTGGCATTCATGAAACTTTGAAACGCGTACAGTATCTAGAACAAGTATCTGACCCTCACCTAGAAGCTAGGAAATGACGCAAGGGATATGGCCATGAAGTTCGAAGAAGTATAGGTGGTTTCACCTCGTATAAAAAACGGCTTATGTCAGTTATGATTGTCTGGTCCTTTGCTGCACCATCTGGACAACAAGTTCTGAGCCACATGAGAGATTGACTCCAAAAAGAGGGTACAAAGATTCTCGATGCATTTGCATGGAGTATCTTGTTCCCACAATGTCCGGTCAAAGAATCACGATATCCTCGAAGGTTACATCATGCCTCTAGTAGGTCCAAAAGCGTCACTCCATACTCGAGAGAAACGATGATGCCAGCCCTTATACAATCTACCATCTATGTGCTTCGGCGTAAAAGAGTGGAATGCAATTGGACTGACGGTGTTTACGGGCTAGCTTGCGACCACACGAGTAAATCTGTTCGCTGGTCACACCTTTGAAGATTCTCTAAACCCTAAAGATCACATGATCATGGGAATGCAAAATTCTGCTCTAGTAGACTTCAACTGATCATGTGATCTTTTTACGAGCAAACGTGACAGCATTGCTGATTGTCGGTAAGCGCACTTTTGTCTGTGACGTTTAGGTTACAACTCGATTTCTGTTGTAATGACACGGTGCTGTATTCTCATACGCCTTCTAGAGTCCTGAAAAGCGATCCCTTGAAACTTGTGATCATGAGGGTGATATCCTCCAGCCAGCGAGACGTGTAACAAGTGCTCTGTCCTTGAAAGGAATGGTCCAATACTTTCACTCTAAGCAATCTCCTTGGGAACCATTCCTTATGTCCTTGACTTCCTCCTTCGGTAATCTGCACAACGAGAAGCTGAAGACCAGCTCGTAGACTTCGAAGATTCCACAAACAACAGAAGTGCTTTACGCTGGACCTTGGGCTTATGACCATAACATGCAAGTGTTCCGAGCTGTCATGAGCTGTCATGAGCTTGGATGCACTTGGTATCATAATGTACTTAATGTGCATAATAGTCTTACCGTTGCAGTTGTTTACAGAAGATGTAGGGGGAGTGTCGAAAAGTTTTCCTAGACAGACATGGAGCGATAGACACACGCTAAGAGACAATGACAACGTCAGATATAACCACGGTGTGAATTAGGTGATCCGTTCCTGATACTCTCTTTAGTAAACAGACAACCAAGTTCCGGATGAAACATGTTACATGTTCCATGTTCCATTCGGAACTTGGGTGAATATACTAAATCTTTTAAATAGCGATGAACAAATAAATTAAAGAGATTACGCTATTGTTGAACTGCCTGTATGCTCGTTGGAAAACAAGGCTGAGATGAAAGGAAGTTGATAGCGTTGACTTGATCGAAGTATAGATTGCTTGGAAGTACACTATAGAGGCAGCATGGAAGAGGTGCACACATGCAAACACTGCTATGTTGCAAACAATCAGGGAGAGTTGTATATGCCCTTTCAATTATCTGCCCAAATAGGTTTCCATATTGTTGGGTAAAACTGGACTCTCTGACAAAAAGGATATGGAGGTAAAAGAGCGTCAGTTTGTAACTTTCGGACATCAATCTTCAGAGGTCCACACCTGAGAAGATTGGTACCCGAGAATGGTGGCTCCGTTTTCCTCTCACCACTGCAAGTAAGGGGACAGAGAAGAATTTCTCTGTCTACCGATTGGAGCAGTACAGAAGTGAACTGGAAAGATGAATGCGTGGATCAAGACATGAGCATAAGGAAAGACATGAAGACTGACCATAGCGAACGCAAATTAGCGTAGTATCCAATTGTCTCATGGAAAGGCTTCAGAGAGATCGATCTTCCACTTTCATGTGAATGTTTCGTGACCCGGGTACCCACGATGACATGCGGGGCGAGATTCGGTCTCAAATCTCCGGACAAGTATCATGGGAACAGTATACCGTACTCACTTTCTGACGTTGAGCTACTGCCGCTTACAACTCACTCCGGAAGCAACAACCGGTTGAGATCGATGCTGCGAAATCTTCTCCATGGAACAGTGGGACCAGAGATCTTACCGGAAACTTCTTCGGAGATTGTGTGTGTGTGTGCTTGAAAAGGCCCAAAAATCCTCAGGAGTGCTTAAGTACGAAAGCATCTTAGACTTCCACTCAATCAAACCCAGCAATTATTCAAAACAAGAAAGGCGGTCAGGCGAAGCGTTTAAGGAAATTATTCTACCATAATAATAGTAACTTTCGTACTGTTTTGAGGGAAAAGAGAAGAACCCCCTGGTAGACAATCAGCCACCATTTATTCCTGCAGAAGGACAAATATCTCATCTAGTTCTGCTCACAGCACGTTCCTCGCTTGCACCCCCATCTTCACCGAATCTGCTCTTGCCCACCCGGAGCTTGCAAAAGTGTAACAACGGTACCATAAAAGCAACTACAGCCAGTTCTGACAGCTGCATTGACTAAGAGATGAAGCTGTGAGTCGTTTGCCAGACAGCAATGAATTGGGCCAACAATTTGCATCATAAGCAGGATGTACGGTGAGACTTACGGACTTCGATCTGGTGGAGACACAGGTAGCCAATGACACGCTCGGTCATAAAACGTGGCCACAGGCTGAATCATTAAAATACTGAACAATGAATTCCTGTACTCTGCCCGTAAGATCTCATGATGCGAGCAATTCGGAATTGGTCCTTCGGCTAGGAGTTGGTAAGCGATACTATCTGCCTGATGAATGCTCATCCATATCCCCATTGTCAACTCCCGAATCCACTCACTTGCCAAATCCACCTTCGCAGTGAATGGATGGCTTGATCCTTCCTTGCGCCATGCTGCATTCCAGCCCATCACACCTTCACAGACACTGTATCCTTTTCGGTTGTAACGGTTCTTATGGTGAGGATTGTACGCCGTCTCTCGATGAAGAGCTACACTCGACGAGAACATTGTACAAACACCGATCCCAACCACAGCCTGATTTCCACATGCCACATTCCTTAAACCCTCGGAATCGAAGAAGCTAATCTCGTGACCTTTGCCTGCAGCTCACGCTTTGAACGCTGCTTTTAAAATTCGAGTATTGAATGAAGAATCTCCTGAAAAAGGTTGTACCATTTCGAAATTGCATTAAATCGTCGAGTACATGTTCATTTCCCGAAGACTCAAGTACAGTTAAGGTAAGTACATTCCGGTCAGGTAGACACCGATGGGAGAGAAATTTCTGCAAGTCCCAGACTGTGTTCCTTTTCTTCATTGGAGGGTGGCCACTTTTGAAGCTCCCGCACTGGTTCTGCTTGGCGTTTCATGGCCCAAGTACCACGACTGTGTATCTCGAAGTCAGAGACGAGGTCAGTACTGGTCTGTCTTCGGATACAGATGAAACCATTGAGTCATTCATTTCGCTCACAAAACTTCTGTTTGCAGCCTTCCATGAGGAGAGCTAGCTTAGCTCATGCTAGCAAGCCACGAGGCCATGCCCGTAGAGAGTTCGAGGTACGAGAGCATTTGATTGCCATTCCAGGCAGGCGTACAAGCTACAGGCGTATTGGTAGAAACAGTAAAGAAACAGGAAGAACTTTTGTGTCGAACATGCGTTTTGCAATCATCTGTCGTGAAAGATTTCTGCAGCGTTGTGCACCTGAGTGCCGCACTTTAGTCACGGAGTTGGCCGGGGCAGGTGTTACGCACCATGCACTCTCAGTGATGTAATCTGCGATTTAATCGTTCTTGTCTGCCTTGTACTGGTCAGTCAGTTTGTGATCTTGAAGCAGGTTAGATCAATGCCAGACCATGCTTGTCACCTACAATCCCTATGCTCTGTAGTTCCCGTCAGGATGCCGGTGAAAGAGATCTGAGGTGGTCCCCTTGCCTCCTCTGCACCTGCAAGATCACGTGGAAAGCTTGAAACTGCCGAGACCTTAGAAATCAGGTGACGCAATACAAGAGCGTGGCCAGAAGCTGAGATGAGAATTCTCCCTTTTATCGTCTGAGCATTACATTGACTTACCTGTAAGTAGGTAAAGCACATTCTTCTGTAATAGAACGAGGGACTAAGATCGAAAATTGTCAATGCGGGCAACACCGCTTTGACAATAGCACGTTTCCGGAGATCATCTTGAGGTGAATAATTTGCAATGTTCTCAAGCAGAAGAGTTCATCTCACCTGATCATTGATAGCTGGGTGAGATGCAAGCAAGCTTTGCAGGGGCAAAGCTTAATCTGCATGGATTTACGAGTTTGACAAATTCTTGGAAAATTCGGGGTGTGATTTTCTGCTCATGGTGAAACAGTAACTGTTTCTGAACCGAATATGGTGAATCTCAGGAGGCAAGCAGACCTCAATTTGTATCTCTTTGAATCATCTAGCTATTGCTTCTCCTACTCAAATCTTCCTTCGGCTCACAACTCCGTACAAATTTCAAATATCTCTTTCGTTTTATCTGGAAACCTTCTCTAGCTGGTGCACGCATCTTGTTCAATCCCAGTCGAATGTGAGCTTCCGGATAATTATAAATTCGAAAGCTGAAACGCATATGATGAAAAGTAGAAATCGGCAGAAGGACGTTGTTGTGTAATTACTTACGTCACGAACATTTCTGATATGTTCTTGTTCTTGCGGCCGATTTCTCGCACTAGATCCGAAGAGATTCAGAATATATAAGCTTGACTAGTTCACCTGCTTATCAACCATCCTGATCCCAATATGACTGAGGAGAACAACGAAGATGCACAGAAATTTAGAAGGATTGATTTGATATTTGAATTTCGATTGGATGTACACGTTTTGTGCCGTGGAACTCTGTTACTCTGCATCACAGTTACTTTTCCGCAAATGTGCAAATGAACGAAATGGATGGGAATAGAATTCTGTGTATTCTGAGAAGAGTGCTAAACTAGCTGCTGTCACAGGACTACTGGAGTTGTACTAGAACGACTTGAAACAATCATTAGGTTGCACGTAATCCAGAAAGATCTTTCACTTGCTTAGGAATGCTGTTCATGAGAGCTTCCAAACTGCATAGCATGCTCAGATCATAGTGCTCTGTCAAAAATTGTGCATTTTTCAGTCGAAGTGGCCACTGTAACTTCTTACAAGGCTAAGAAGGCGTGATGTTCTCAATCGACGCCAATCCGAGTAGTTTGCTCAGCCTAATGACATATTACCGAAACGTTGTTCTGCTCGTTAAGATAAAACTTCACATTGTGAGCTGATCTAGTCTTTGACCAAGGGAACTCAAGAGAATTTCTGTCTATCCTCACGAACATTCTGAACTGCTGAACTGACTGGCTTGTTATGGATTCCAATCCATAACAAAATGTAAAAGAACCCCACCCAGCAAAGAGAGGAAGGCAAACAAAACTGAGTGTTATAGGAGTGATTCCCGGCTGATATACCTCAGTTGCCACAAGTGACTGACAAGTAGTTGTTTCTCTGCCCGACAGTTACGAGATTCATGTCGGAAGATGAATGGTTGTTCTATTGTTCCGCATTTCCAGTGGCAGGACAAATATGCTGGACTTCTTAAGGCCATGTCGGAAGTCCCTACAGGTGAAGAACAAAGATCAAGGAGGCCAGCTTGACTTACAATATGGAAGTTCTCTGATGGCATTCAGGTCCAGATAGTCGGCCGTCTGTATTTCTCCCTCAAGATTGTCTCTGTGACAGATACCTTGGTCAAGTGATTGGAAGATTTGTACTTATGCTGGCCACCGCACCATATCCTGATTTTACTTCGACTCTTTTCGGATGGAGGCATGAAGCTTACATATGGGCAAATATGTACACTATCGTGTCTGAACCATGGAGATGACTCTCAAGGATAACTGTCTGAGATCGTTGCATGCATGAGTGGTGATGCTAGTATACACGTACATGAATTTACTATTTACAAGGTCCGAAAACGCTTCAAGATATATGCTCAGTCAATTGAGAATTACTTATCTGGCTCAATACAACGGTAGAACTTCAAGAGGGTAGATATTTACCAACCAATTTATTTCATTTCTCATCAAGCCACCTTCGATACAACCGTCAACACCACCATAAAATTAGCCTAGTATAAAATCTCTCGATGATCTACAGGTCTTTCCAAGGACCTCAGCTCAGTCTATGGATATATGATTTCACTTCACGGAGCGGAGGCACTTGGGAAGACCCGTAGGCGGTCGAGCTGAAGATGATACTCGTGTTCATCCGATATACTCGAAGGTCATAACCCGAGTTCAATAGACCACTGCCAATATCTAAACATATAAACCGAAGACTGGCATAAATGACATTTGGACTTGGTCAGTTAACTCGACGAAATGTTTCAGTAGCGGATTTCACGTTTGATTTATCAAATGTGAGTGGTCAGAAACATGGAATGAGATGGCAACTTTCAGGATGAATTAAAGACCAGATGAGCGTAAGGAAAATACTACACAATATTCCTCTCACAATTTGAGACTGTACTTGGGAACTTCTACGAATACTGGAACAAACAGATTCTATCGAGTACTGACAGGACAATTGTACCACTGCCGGTCCTTTACCTTCAAGATTCCTCACATGCACTTGCGTTAAGCTTGGAATAAAACGTCCGTCTTTCCCCATGTTTCTAGAGTGTAGACCAGCTCTGTCATGACCTAAAATGTTCAAACGCTTGCAATCATGAGATGTACCCCAACAGTGGAGAACTCACCGATTCCTATCCTATCAACAAAACCAATTTCTCGCCGCAGTTGAAAGAATTTGGCTAGCGATCAAGTTTGGAGATGTGTATAAAATACATCCAATTCGATATCTTACTCCTCAAATGTGACCCCCTACCCTTGTACAGAATCAAGGTACTGGTTATGCCCTCTTCCTCTTCATAATTTCTTTGAACTTTGGACGGTTCTGCAGTTTCGCAATATTCACCTCCCTTATTTCCATTTGAAAGCTTTCCATATTCAAATATCTTTCCCACATTATTTTGATGCTCCTGTGCATGCTACATCCATCAATCAAGAGCTTGTATATTCTCACTAAGAGAATGTTGGAAAGAGATTTTCGTATGATGGCGCTCAGAAAAGGGGATATATTAAAAGGGGGCCCATGGGTATCACTATTACAAACTCGTGGCAAATCCACTGCTGACCGTTCATCATAAGTGGAAATGTCGAAGTTGTGGCTAGCACGTCAAACATGACCAATCGTAAACGTCTTCTACAACTTCTGGGAACTGTCCTGGGCTTTGTTTTCAACCTCCCATGATCACTAGGTGAATGTCGGTCAATGGATCCAGCATATCCTCTACACTTTAGCCGATGGCAATTGTATCTTTTCGAACAGTAAGCATCTGCTAGAGGATGTTGGACCTGCTCATAATTCATGGAGTCGTATGGAGTCTACAACACCTAAATATGACGCCGCATTCGGAGAAGTGGGAACGATACTTTGATTCTGGCCCAAGCGAGCGGCCACCGAATATGTAACAACAGAAAACAAGTCCTGTGTCCTTGAAATCTCGAGGTGCTGACTGCATGATATTCACGAAGCGAGGCTCATCATTTGAAGATAGGGCCATGAGGAAGCGGAAGTTGACGATTCCACCTACAAGCCCGAGCTATGGATAGTGGTCTACAGGCAAGGTTGAAGTGCAAGCGCCACCTGGAACAGTCGGACAGTTCAACTGATTCCATGGAGACGATCAAGTGGCGGCTCACATCCGTTCCGCTGGGCCGGGTCGGACCCCTGCCGTGCTGGACGGGTCTCGATTCACCCCGTCCGGTCCAGCGAGTCATGCGTGACGATTATTCCAGCATTCAACATGCTGATGACCCACTTAAATAACAATAAGCCGAGAACCTACCAAAATAACGAAAAGAATGTGAGCTCCCCAGGAGTATATGTATGGATGAAACCAATTGACTCATATATAGCTAACCCCCGATTTGATCTCTATGTTGTTTGGAACTTATTGTCATCATTGAATAATTAAATACTAACTAGGTCTACAAACAACATAGCATGGATGAAACAGGGTCTGGAATTATTTCTCAACCCGCCTCATGTGATGCTTCCAACTAAATGGAAATATTTTAACAAACATATACAGTATAACCTCTATAAATTTATACTCCATAAATTTATAAGTTTAGGGTTCTCAGAACCATCCTTCCGGATGGTTCTGAGAACAATCAAGCAAAACTAAATGAATCAATTTTAATAAACTCCAGAAACTTATCACCTCTATAAACTTAACAAAAAGAGTTGGTCCCAGCTTGATAAGATTATAGAGGTTCTACTTGTATTGTACAATAGACTAACCAAATGATAAGTATCAATTAGCTGTTTCATCTCATTTATGTATTAAATTGGTGTCCATGGATACAAGTAGCTTAGATTTTAGCTCAAATTGATAATAAGACATTTTAATGAAAGGTGACTTCTAAAATTAAGCTTATCTCCATATTTCTGGGATGGATGATAATCACCTCTCAAAGTAGGTTCCAAATATAGACATCGATGACCACCAAAATAATATCTCAACCAAATATAGATTTTTGCAAATTTTTGCTTAGTGACGTGAATATATGCGTAGTTAATAACACGTCAATGCCGACTATCTTTTGCATGTCCAATTTAAACATACATTTTAATTTACATGAATAAATATTAGAGTATGAAGTGCGAAGAAATTGATTAATACCGAGGAATTTGTTTTCTAATGTGGTCCTACATCCTTCGATCCAACATCAATCTGCAGATAATAAATAATTCCATAACATCCGTCACTACTTTTATCAATTCTACTTTTGTATCGAGTGGTAGATCTGGCCTCGACAGCCAAGTTGCTCTCCAACCACGTCCACAAGGTGCGAGCTCGCTTTGCAGTATTCGGTGACAAATATCTCAACAACTTGCCCACGGGAAAGGTGCACACCACCTTATCATGAAATTCGACCTCTGATTATCCGTCTGCTGAGTCTTGAGGGTTTTGCTGAAAGGGGAATGCGATGTTCGAATACGAAGATCCC